GCTGAAGAGGACAACGAAGTACATTTTGAAGGAGATTTTAGTGGAAGTACGAATGTCACATCCCTTGGCTGGTTTCGATCATTTCTCTGAAGGCCTGAATTATCTTTGTTCGACGAAGAGCTGTTTTTCTGAAGGAGATTAAAACATTAAGACTGTCACTCGTTTTGTTGTTGTCCACGAGTCAGAGATTGTTGCGACGAATTATCTGTTGAAAATGTAGAAGTTGAGGATGAATATCCAGCAAATTTGAAGGAGATTATATTCTTGAAACTGGGGTATATACTCCATGCTTGATCAGAAGGAGACCTTAAAGTTTTGAAGGAGAAAATGAAGGTCTTCATGTACTTTATATTTTTTTCAGAGCTCAGAGGCACCCAATTTGGAAATGGAAATGAGGTACAAACTCGGGGAAATTCCTTGAGTCATGTCGACTGAAAAATAAAATCTCAAATATCACATAAACATTATCCCGATTTTTTCTGGAGACGAAGATGAAATACATAGGGAAGGAGTGTTCCATTGACCAGGCTATCTTTTATATTTAAGAATTTTTATTGTCTTATTATTAGGCCTAAAGACAGCAAGTCAACTTTGACACTGAAACACGCGTGGAGAATCTGTCAATTACAGAGAGCGCTATCCAGCCAGACAAATATTTCGGGGACAAAAGGCACGTGCCAGCTGCGTCACATAACTTCACCAGAGAGAACAATAGGACTGAACGCGCATCCACGGCACGTGCCGACAGGGGGTTCAAAGGTCATAAACTTTATACACGGCCCTTCGGCCAGACACTCCTTATAAGGGATTAACAGGTGTGGATCTCTTTCATATCCAAATATGCCCTCACTTCACTTCAGACAATGCCACGGGGAGAAAAATCAATACTCATGTCATGTTGACAACAAAAAATTGACTTGGCGACAAAAAAAGAAAGTTCCTGAAGCTGGGAGCCTATTAATTTTGGAAAATAAAAGAGGACAAACTTGGGACGATATGCATGTAGCTCTGGTATTAGGCCTAATGTTGACAAGCATACTACATTTCATAAAAAAAAATCCCCAGAACAAATCAAATCTACCCTGCAAGGGTTTTTGCTTTTTAAGCTCGGAGGCAACTAATTTTCGAATGGAAACGAGGGGCACTACTCTGGGAGTTAATACCATGAGTCATGTTGACTGAAAAAATATATTACCATAGAACTAGGTTTTTTAAAATCCTGATGATAACAGAGGAGATTCGGAGATGTTTTTAATCACAACCGTTATTATTTTTGGAAGTAAAAGGTACAGGGACAAATTCGAAATTTGGACAAAACATCTTTTAGATAAAGTGGAAATTGTAGAAGGAGAAAATATAAAAAAAGATACACATTAAGCCTGTTAAAAAATATCATTACTACAAGTGGCCACAGAAAATAAAAGACCCAGTAAATTTTATCTTGAAATAAGGGGGCATAAAAATACCAGTATAATTTTTGCCATTCACAAAATTATAGGTAGACACCAGACATCTGGACACAAAATCTCATAAACGGAGAGCTTATTTTTGTTTTTACAAATAGAGCAGCAAGCATTATGAAAGGGATATACAACTATTCATGCAAATTGTAACTGAAAGGGAGCAGACTTGGAGTACATTTTTTTTTAAATTTTACCTGTTATTTTTACAATTCACAAAATTTACAGGGACTAGTGAGACACCCCACATCTGGACACAAAATCTCATAGAAATGAGGAGCTCATTGTTTTTTTTTATAAATAGAGCAATACATATGAAAAGGATATACACAAATACTTTCTGCATTTTATAATTGAAAGGGGGCACACTTGGGTACCTCTTTCAACTACACCCTATATTTTTTTGGGAATTTGCAAAAGAAAAGGGTGACACTCGAATCTGGACACACAATCTCATAAATTAGGAGGTCTTTTCTACAAGTACCAAGAGGAACTAGGAAAATTATTTCCTGGAATAATTTCTAAAGTTTTCACTTACCTCAGAAATTGTTTCTGACTTACCAAATTGACGAATTCTTAACTTGTCCACACGATAAATTCCACAAGAATAATATCCACGCCGGCAATGCATAATAAGAAATCCATGACACTCGAGTTTGAGCTGTTTCACAGTTTTAGTTCATAGTTCAACTCATGCATTTATCTCAATTTATTGGTTCTGATCTTCAAGTTCAGGTGTTCCTCGCTTTTTGGAGAAAAAACTATGCCTACTCCCAGACAAAAAAAATGCAAAGTCAGAGTAAATGAAACTTTAGGTACCTTTCCTCAAAATCCGTTGAAGTACAGTTACAGTTTTAGTTCAGTATTTCACTCACAACAATTCCATAGACAGAAAGTCCGAGAACCCATTCGTAGAAACTTGGAGTGCTGCGAATTTCAAAAGAATAGCGACCATGGCGACAGGGTTGAACCTCGGTCGGGATTCATTTTCCAAAAAAGTTCACTCGAAGTTCAGACAAAGTTTCTGGTCCATATAAGGTTTAACTCACGACACATGCAGGTAAGAAGTCCAAGAGGTGAGTGCAGATTGCAGAACTTGGGTGGAGAAAATGCCAAAGAGCACGGGTGACGACAACGGCAGGGTGAAAATCCGGCCGCCGCTTGATTCATCGTGAGCCGTCTGTCATGTCCGCACTCCGTGCATGCAGTCGGTTGACCCTCTGACTCTGCCTAGCACCGTGAAGCTCGCCTAATTTCCCAACGAAATACTCCAAAGAAATCCACGACTCCATGCTGCAGTCTTCCACACATTGTTTCACTTGAGTTAGTGAGATAAGCAGTTTTGTAAATTCGACAAATCCGCTGGAAAATTGTCCTCTTTGTGGACAAAAGGAGAGTGCAAGTCCACTCGTTCCGAATTTCGAGCACAAATTATTGCAGCACATTAGCAAACTTGCTCGCGCCCATCGCAAAAGTAGCTGACAGGTGAGTGATCAGGTCAGGTGTGCACAAAAATTATGAGACTTAAAGAAATGTTCATGCGCGGCTAGAATTTTCCTACCAAATCAAACAAAACTTTATTAATCCAATACAGTTTTCAACTCGTTGTTATTGTATGCACTGTGTTCGCAAAATAAAATCAAACAATCTTTGATTTTGACCCAAAAAAACATCGTATTTGATGAAACAGCCCGGCCTATATTTTTGAAACGAGGAGAGATATCGACAGAAAACCGGCCGAGTACAACTTCGTCCCCAGAGCTTACTTTCTTTTCAGTTTCAGTTTAAGTTTCAGGTATAGTGATGGGAGCGTACTGCTCGACGTCATAAGAACGAGCTTGAGCTGAGTTGGTCACGCACTCATAGTCTGGTTCCCCGACCCCATTGTCCTTCGGATTTCAAGGGATGGGTTGGGGGAGGGGACAGTCTGACGCGCCCAGCGTCGAGAGTGATTCCCATTGGTTGGAAGTGTAATAGTACAAGTTTTGATTGGCAGGTAGAAACCGCTCTTGTTTACGTAGTGTTTTTCCAACCTCGACTTCGTTCCAGCATCGGTTTTATCGATTCACGTCTCAATATCAAAAAAGGTCTGTGAAACAAAACAGGAGTGTATTGATTTACATTTTGAAGTTTTTTAGAGGCCTCGTATTAGATTACGCGTAAGCAGAGCGAACTTTAGGAGATATAAAGCCATGGCTTTTCCATTTCAAGAACCTACAGCTTTCCCGACGCCGTATTGGTGATCGAACCTAGGTTTCGGAAAGCCCCAATTTTATTGTACGCTGTACCGCCGGCTGCAGGCAGGCCAGTAACAGGACAGAAATTGCCTACGCATCGGCCAAATCAAGACTTGCATGTCCTCAGATTTTCTGGGCCATGAACTTGAGGGTCTACAAGAACGGTGGTACTTGTGTAAAACGGGACCAGCATCTAGCAAAATTATGCTAGATGCATTTTAAAAGGATGTTAGATTTAACAAATATCCGCTAAATCACCTATTATTACATGAAATATATTATAACCACTTATACTCACATGCAGATGTTCTAAATTTGTCTTAAACAAAAACAAAAGCAAACAATCGTAAAATTTCCTTTCAAATAATTAAATTAAAGAACTCATTTTCAATAATGTGCACGCTGGCCTGGTAGGGTTTGCAAGTTGCAATGGTCTAAAGTAGTTTACTAATGTACTAATACACATCAGGGAACCTCAAATTGAAGCTTTTTCAAAACTTATTAGCTATATTTTTGTAAACCTGCCATATTTTTCTGTCAAATCACCAAATTACAGATTTCTGCTAGAAATCTGCTAAAAAATTCATTCTGCCAAATTTTCTGTCAACCCACTTTTTTTCCAAAACAATCTGTCAAATTTAGCCGAAATTTGGCTAAAATTGTCACCCTGAACAGGACTGTTATTTAAACTCCACTCTGATGAGCTGAGGGGTGAGCTGATACACCCAATTTTCTTTTTGTGCATTAGAGACACAAAAGCAACACAACGTTGACAATTTCGTTGAAATAAATTGTACAAATATTGAAACTCATGTAGAGACAAATCTGAACTTGCTGAAAAGCATTGGCATCGATTGACAGTCGTAAAAAGTGACACGCCCACCACAAACCACAGCAAATACCCATACTACAGCTCCACCTTTGTTTTTCTCCCTGCTGAAAAGCCAAACTATCCAGCTGTCTAATTCCCTATTTTCGGTTATCAAAAAGGAAGTTAATTGCTTTCGGCAAGTTTTACATTCAGTTCATAAAACTGCAGAAGGGGATCTTCTTTTCTTAATTGTTTTAATCAAGCCCTTAGGATGATCGATGAAATAAATTTCACATTTAGTTTGGATTCACGGCTAGGGAGGGTGGGTTTTTTTAAGGTTTTTTTTTTTAAGGGTTAACGTCCCAAAACCACTCCGTGTGTCTATGGGATATACTGGGTTGCAGAAAAAAAACAATTGTTTCCATTGGGATATACTTGGTTGCAGAAAACATAATTGCTTCCGGGCTGTTGGATTTATCTTTTTTGCTCGTGTAGTTGATGCTTCATGACGTCATCTCCTAGGCGACATTCCGTAAATATGGCGTTGAGATTGAGTGGACGTTTGGAATGTGTGCATCGAAAAAACTGATTGTGGAAAAGGTGAGGATACGATTACAACGTTTGAAGTGTGGTTTTGCTGTAAATGATTTGAATTTGTTATTTCAAGCCTTAAGTTTCGCATCATCACTGCAGTTTTCCTTAATACACGTATACAAATCGTTGAACAACGGCACTGGCACTGCACCACGCACTGCACCACGCACTGCAGACAACTGCAGACTACCCGGCACCCAGGGCGTCCGGAAATTGGGCCACAAACCGGCCGAGTGTTCGCTTGGCTATTTTTTTATTACAACTTAACAACATCTCGGAAAATCCCAAGTTAACATTAAGAACTTCTTAAAAGTTCTGATAAACATTATTTCCACTCAGATACCAAACTATAAAATAAGTTTGCAAATATAATTTATAAATGTCAGACAATTCCTACTTATTTTTCGGCATGATGCCCCTAGGGCCTAGCCCCACTAGTGTGGCCGCGATATTGCTGTGCTGTATCACTGACCACACGCCAGGTCCTCCAGTATTACTGAGGAGTTTATTTCAAACACTGGCGCACACTTTTCTGCAATTTTTTTACACACCACTGTTTATGGTTGTAATTCTATGACTTCTCATCTTTTGCCCTCCGGGTAGATTTGGTAATATTTCTTTAAATTTTTCGAGAAATTTAGCATCTTTCTGGAGTCCATATGCACCAGTGTTTGAACTAAACTCCTCAGTAGATTGGGAAACCAGACGTGTGGCCTAACGTACAGCGCAGCAATACTTAGGCCACACAAGTGGGGCTACATGATGCCATGCCCGGCATGATGATGTTGGGCGTGTTTTTTTTTACATGTTTAACATGCTGATGAATTTTGTAGAATTGTGTGTTTGGTTCTCTCCTGTGCCACCAGGGTTTTTCAATGGGCCATCCGGCTTTCCTCCCTCCGGAAAAATCAAACACTTCTGATCTCTGTCTGTGCTCCATGGACAAACATGTCATAGGCCTAGTATATGGGTCGAATGTGGCCGGCAGCCATAGGCGCCTTTACATGCCTGCGGCCCGACCACCGTGACGTTGTAGCCGCGTCCTTCGCAATTCAGCATACCAGCTGCGAGTAAGGATGATTAGCCTCCCAAATTAGTATTATTTTTGTTATTATTATATTTTTTTAACCGCAGCTCTTATTAAATTGAAGAAATGGCACCAACTGGTACCCAGGGGGAGACACGCATCTCAGACTCCATCGGTGCCCACCAAGCGCATCACCCCGATCGTACCAAGTATAACCGATCGTCCAGCGATGCCATCAGTTATGAGGACTTGCTGGTGGCACAGTACCTGGAAGGGCTCAAGAAGGCTGAGGCAGCTGGCTCCAGGAGAAGGTAACAGTCTAACCCTAAAAACCCTCACCCCCTAGTAGTTCAACTCTTTTCAGTTGCCTGCTAAATCCAACAGATGTCAACAGGAAAATTCACAAGGGGTTTTACTGCTCAATCCAACAGGTCTCAGCAGGTATCTAAAGTAGTTCGATCGTGTTGGATTGAGCAGGGTTCTAAAAACAACAACATAATATAGGCCTAAGCACTGTCGATATCAGAATTTGCAATAATCAATATAAATCAGAAATCTAATATCGAGAATATACATGTACATGTATAGTATCGATTATCCCCATGTAAAACCATAACCAATCAATGAAACACCAAGCAGTGTCAGTTTGTGCTCTGCGTTCGCTGGCATTTGCGGTCTCCCCAAAAGTTTGAGCAATATGTTCCAGAGTAAGCCGTGGAAAATTGGAACTACAAACTACAAAAAAAACCCATTAAATTCCTCTTACATTTCTGATGTATTCAATAAAATATGGGTTTTTGAAGTGTGTTATGAATTATGGAGCCTCAAAAGTGGACAACCATATTTTCCCATTTTCTGCTAGTAGAATTTGAGGGTTTTTTTAAATTGCAACATCGGTTTAAAAAAACCTCAATTTTCTGCTAGCAGAAATTTGGATTTTACTTTTACGGCTATCTCGGCGCCTCAAAAGTGGTCATCTAAAAAATAACATAATTTCTGTGAGTAAATATTCGGGTAACACTTTTTGTAGAAACCAAAATACTAGTATTTTCTGCCAGCACAACTATGGTCGTGAACCACAAACTACATGTACAAACTACTGTACATTTGTAAGTTGAAGTTGTCTATACTTCAAATGGTTGTTTTTTTGGGCCAGACCAAAGAGTTTTGTAAAAACCGGTGATGCAATTTCAAAAAACCTCAAATTTTGTGCTAGCAGAAAATGGGAAAAAAACGGTTGTTCACTTTTGACGCTCCATATTTTATCACCGCCTCCCTTCTCGAAGGGTTAAAATGTATGAAAATATTGGGTGCAGTTTGCAGACTTGGCTGGACGGGGCCTTGCATGTTGTTGCTAGGCATCATGGTGACAGAGGCTCATAAAAGGGCTGCTTACTGGTGTACGTACAAAGAACACATGCCGATTTGTCGTCCTATTTACTGTCATGACTGTTGGGTCACTATGTGTCGTATTAAAGCCAGAGTCCATCATTTGCAGTTATCCAAAAAGTAACTGGCTTGATTGTTGTTGAAAAACATACTTGGTTGAAAGATAGTAAGGAAACTAAACTCCCTGTAAAATTACTCTTTCTGACAAGCTGTCATTTTGAAGAAATCAACAAAAGAAGGCCTTTCCAATGGAGCGTCTTAAGAAGCACCGTTTAAAATTTCTGTCAGTAGTTTGTTTTTTTATTCGGCGAAGTGCACGCAAGCGTTGACACGACGCACACGCGTGTGTGGTTGCTGTAATTTGTCGGATCGGTGCAGGACATCGCGTACCTGTAGCTGCAATTAGCTCAATGAGAAGGTGTCTTGGACGCTGAATTCAAGCCCAATTCAAAACATGATTCAGCAACTTTTGATTTGAAATCATGATCCTTGAATGCTGTTTTTCTCGGAATATACAGCTGAAGCTGAGCTAAACTTCATCAGGTTAGTTGTTCAGCACCCTTCTTAAGATTTTGAGCACTTTTGTTGCTTCAAACGAACAAAATGCACAAATTACAAATGATGGACTTTACCTTTAAACAGGACTGGTGATAGGTAAATGAGCGTGATTGCAGCCAGATCCTTTGTGAGCAGCTAGCGGGAAAATGTATTACATTATCAGTCATTCTGGATCCAAAGTATCAATCATTAAGGGCGGCTTTTGCCTTGATGTTTATCTTCGGTCGCAGGTGCAGTGAAGTGGCATGGCACTGACTTTATCAATAGTGAATGGGAGACAATGCATTTGTGCTCTACATAAATGTATTCTCGGACCAAAAAAAAAAAAAACAGGTCAAGGGGAATACTCAAACAGAACCACATGTTATTTCAATCATGTAGGCCTATACTTCAAAAACTACCATTGCCAATGATGTCGGGCAGGGTGGGGGAATACACACAGAACCCATATCAAATAAATACAAGAAGTTATTTCACAAACTTTCATGCAGACTTCACATAGGGAGAATTTCAAAAGTTTGCCTTCTTCTGTGTTGCGTACAACTGTACATAGTTTCGAAACTGTAATCCGACACACAAAACATGTAGTAACTACCGTAATATACAGTCAAACTAAAACGCCTTCAAAATCAGTTTATGCATAAGATTATTAAAAAAAAATAAAAATACCGGTAAACAACTCAATTCCCACGGCCCTCTCTGGACCGCATTGCTCAAGTTTTAATTTTAATTTTAAACAAATACGATTCCATACAGGACTCAAGATTCCATACGGAATTGAATCCATTTCTATCAATCAAACAATTTGTGAGAAAAGACCTCAATAATTTCACTACTAAACAACAGTACTTTATAATCACTATAAAATGTGTCATGAACATTTACAAGGAGAAAACCTTCTTTTTAATGTCAGATTTTGTGTTTTAAATAAGAAAAACAACTCTTTAATGGTAATTTTTGTTCTTTTTTCGTTTATTCATAGAGGTGGGAAAACGTCCAAGTTTCATTGTATTTAATGGGCATTCATCAGTTCATAGAGTGGGCGGAATCAGTGGTGGACAGCTGAATTTTGTGACCTTTTTTTATAGACATTGTAACTTGGGAATAGAGTATGCAAATGTCATAAAATGTTCACAGTTACTAGTCAGTTACATAATAATAATAATAATAATAACGGAGTCTTAAATAGCGCACGTTTCTACCAACAATTAGGTACTCAAGGTGCTGGTTATTATGTCTATTATTAAAGAAAGGTAAATCAAGTATGAGAAATATGAGACCCAATATGAGACCCATTAGGTTGACAAGATTCTGCGGCGCATATTGCAGCCACTGCCAGAAACACCGGGGCAAACCCCTTCTCTTAGCGATAAGTGTTACTGGGTTCTTTAACGTTCATTACACAACACACGGGACCTGCGGCTTTACGTCCCATCCGAAGGATGAAGCAATAATGGTAAAGTGCCTTGCTTAAGAGCACAAGCACCATGTTCCCACGATCAGGATTCGAACTCATGTACCACGGCACACAAATCGAACACTGTAACCATTGGACTACAGCACCCCACATGTTCATGTACTTTATCCCCATGATATTTTTTTTATGAAAGAGAGCAGACCACATATTTTTAAAAATAGTTTGTCTAAATTCGGTCACTTTCTTTTTGACTCACCCGGTATTCTTGACCAAATTGAATTGTTACTACTGGGAATATATTCCTCAAAGAAGTGGAATCTAGGGGTGTGCATAGGAACCGAGTACCCTACCGCTGATGTCAGGAACTGGTTCCAGATTACGGGATCGGGTACCCATAACCAACTTTACAAATTACTTAGTTACTTCTCAGACAATGAAAAGAAAGGTTGTGAATGCCATTTGTGGGGACTTTTCAAAATGAAAACCAGGGTACATGGAAAAACAAAACAGATTCTAAGCCTAAGACGAACCACCGGCAAGATCATGGTTTTATGAGGCCATGGCGCTCGTAATAAATTCTAATCTCTAGTAAGCTCTACATAACAAGTTTACCGCTTTTATTTCCTGGCAGGTTAAACAGGCCTTCCAAGCCGGCCTCCCCTTACATGCAAAAGTTTGCCCGCAGCGATCAAGCTGCTGTTACCACCACCAGCGCCATGCAGGCCCTACCCAGAACACGTGGCGGCGGCAGCAGCAGGCCATACTCCGCGGCACCGGCCGGCCGCAGCTCGGCCCGGGAACGCAAACGCATCGACGTGAAGTTCGTGATGGATGGCGGGGAAGAGGCGGAGGAGGGGGAGGAGCCTAGAGATCTGAGGAGGGAGGGCGGCAGAACGAAGTCCAAGCTGCGACCGATGAGTGCACCGGTGTATAAAACAAAGAGGTTGGTACGCCACAAAATAAAAAAGGAAAAATAATACAGTTAACTCTCTTTAACCTATGAGCACCTGGGCCCAATTTCACAGCGCTGCTATCACAAAAATTTGCTTAGCACAAAAATAGCCTGGCTTAGAAAAGTAGGTTAGCCAGCCAAAGCTCCAAATGATACATATTGTTCATGATTAGTATTCAGCTGTTGTTTGCTTAGGATGAAAATCACATGGAGTTTTGGCTGGTAACCTGCTTTTGTAAGCCAGACTATTTCTGTGCTAAGCAAATTTTTGTGCTTAGCAGCGCCGTGAAATTGGGCCCTGTTCAACATTGTATTACATTGTGTTTATTCACTTTAGAATCGATAAAACTATAGCCTAGGTTAGGCAGTTTCAGGTGCTATAGGGAGTAAAAGGTTCAACTTGCCCACATTTTGTTTCTACTGAGGTGGCTTTCCACCATTTAATACTGGGACGCTCCAAATCTCACTTTGGTGTTTCTTCACACACTGCACTCCCATTTAGTTACGTGCTCAAAGCTTTACAAATGCCATGGGCACACAGGCATGGAAGTGTCCCAGTAATAGCTACCAGAACCGTCACCGTAATTTCAAAATGGGTATGGTGTGCAGGGCAGTTTGGACGCTACATGTACACTGACTTCAGTCAGACATTCCATGACAAGTTATGGCCGTTTTATCTGCGCATTTAACGACATGTCTAAAAAAAGTAAATTACTGAGAAAAAGGCCTTTACAGTTTTGCATTTTCTCCATTACGGCCTGTGCCCGGTTCCCCTTCTCGTTTTGCCAGCACGCCTCACATAAAATGATGTCACCCAAAGTTAGTTCAACAGTTGTACGACAGGTCTTGGTTTTATTCATTCATACGTTTTTCTCTCTTTGTCAAGGCCTTGGAGCGGCAAGTCAGCCTCCTCCACAGCCACAGTCTCCCAGCGATCCCGACGAAACAAGGCACTGTACCGGCTGCAACCCCAGGTCATCCGAGCTACCGTCTACAAGAACGGTACCCAGACTGACGCGGTCAGAGTCACTGCACACTCCATGAAAACGGTGAGTGGATTAAAACTACCGCACGGCACCACACTGTTCTCTTTTGGTTTGCCACTCTGGTTTACGAAACCACGGCTTTAGGTTGTAGGTTTGGCTTTGCCTCCAGCCCATGATTTATGTGAATCCTGCTGCTTTCAGACCTACTGAAAATACACGCATGATGTGGTGTTTCTAGTTACATATCGCCGAAAATGGACCAATCGATTGTACTGGAGTCGGTCGAGTCAGGGGACTCAAAATCATAAAGCTTTAGCCTTGGATCTCATAAACCTTATCATGTAAACGTGGAAATATAAAGTCTCTGTCAAATCAGCAAATCTCATCACTGGTTTCCTTGACGTAAATCAACTACAAATCTTTGTGTTCATGCAACAAGGTCGTATGTCGTAAAATGGGCCATATGTGAAATGCGAGTTTCAGAATGTCAAAGGTCGTGTCTCACATAAAATAACCCGGATGTACACACAAAGTCAATGGATATCGAGATACGACCTTGTTGCACGGAGCGTATTTACACGAGATACAAGTTTGTTGCAGAATGGAGTTAATACGACCTTGTTGCACTGACACGACGAAATAGGTTATTTGTTCTCCAGGGCAGTGTGAGGGGCCCAGGGGGGGGGGGCCTTGCCATTTTATCAGCAGCTGGATTTGTACCCCTGCCACTCTGGCTGTGAGCCATGAACCTTAAAAGGTCTGTTTCTACTTCAAGCAAGTTTCAGTCCGGCTTAAATTTGTTAGGGTCACAATGAAACTTCAATTGTTGATGACAGGAAATCGGCTTTGGCTTTGAACCGGCCGTGAAGTTGTGAACCATAATAGAAAATTATGCTACAATACTAGTGTTAAAGGATGACAATCCAGATTTTAATAAAACCTGTTTCAAGACTAAAACTTTTTGTTCCAACTTACAGTTTCTGGAAGCCTGCACAATAAAACTGAGCCTGCAGTTTGCCGCTCGGCGGATTTTCTTGCCGGACGGGACGGAAGTGAAGTACCCAGAGGAGATCCCCAAGGATTCTGAAGTGTTTATTTCATGTGGGGAGCCGTACAGAGACCCTACCTCCAATGTAAAAGGTATGTCACTTATTCTTAGACTTAATTCTCTTTTTTTTGGTGAAACAGGTCACATTATGGCAAAAATGTGTGGCTGATTTTTGAGGATGCACTTTGTCAAGGTTTTAAGACCAGACCTTGTCTTGTTTATGCTCAGCTGTGCATCAATTTAGGCCTAGAGTATGCTTGAAATCCTCCGCACTGCTCCAGGATGTCACTGGCTCTGCCTCAACATACTGACAGTGATTGCCGGAGGATTTTGCAAGATTCAGGCAGTGGTTACCCCTTCAAGGACCACATTCAAGAAATAGGATTGATTGCAATTTTTAGATGCGGGAAGTTGGAGGATATTGCAGGATTGAGGTGGCATCCTAACAAAAATGCCTATAGTGGATATTTAATAATAATAGTGGGTATTTATAAAGCGCGTCCAGGACTGGTGCTCAAGGTGCTACATCATTATTACCCCTGCTCATTGGGCACATGAAACATTCCAAATACCATCTCAGCTGAAGCTAATTCAATCACAATAACCATCTCTGCCCTCACAGGTACTCCTGGTTGGAGAGAAGCAATGAGTGACAAAGTGCCTTGCCCAAGGGCACACGCACCATGTCCCCGCCAGGACTCAAACCCACAACCACAACCAACCCTCATAATCATAGCTTTTGGGGTTTATTTTTTAGATGATGCTCACAAGAAACTGTACGCAAACTGGACGATGAACGGGGTGGTGCTTCCGGCTGAAACAAAAAAGAAACCAAAGTCTACACTGTCTAAGAGAATGAGGTGAGTTTTTTTGTGAGGATTTTTCCTGATTTCAGGGTTTTAAAAATAAATCTCTTTGGAAAACTGGAATCTTTGGTTGAACTGTAAGATTCTTTTAGGTATGGCAGTTTATGTGGCAGAAAAGAAATGGGTTTTCCAAGTTGTTATTATTATTAGCAGTGGTATTAATTTCTTATAATGAAACCAAGGATTCCTCAAAAGTGTCCTGGGCACTGTAGCTCGCAAGCCTGAAGAAACCTACAGACTTTATTCACAAGTCGGCCATATTAAATTGAAAGCGAGGTAAATTCGTTATTTTTGGAACTTGCGAGTAGAAATGAAAGCAATGAAATAAAGTTTGTTAGAAATCTATACCAGTCTGCTCTGATGAATAATCACAAATTTGTGATTAAACATACCTTAATGTTTTTAAGCCACATTAAAAAAAAAAAACTTACCTTAATGTTTTTAAGCCACATTAAAAAAAAAACATACCTTAATGTTTTTAAGCCACATTAAAAAAAAAAAAAAGCAAAAAATAGTTAGTGGCCTGACGTTTCGACCCTAGCAGAGTCTTTCTCGAAGGCTAAATGACAAGACTATAAACATAAACAGGTTTTTAAAAAAAAAACAATTAAAAGTGAGGCTTGGAATGCACTCCAATCATGTAATAGTCTGGCACCATCCCATCCAACAGGTAACAATTTATGAAATAGATTCAAGGAACATGATTGAAAATAGGTTCCCATGAATAAGGTTTATTGAGAGATTCACTGATCTCTATATAAAGACTGGATAGCGGATAAAGAGCCGCACAATGAATGAATTTGACGCCATATTGGTGAGACTGGTGAGATCGGCTGGTGATCTACAGAGGACAAGTTGCCGTCTTTTATAGACAGCATGATTTCTTTTGTAACATCGCGGTTCACTTGACGTATATTTTGACCACCACCACCTACCAAGGTTTGCAATTTCTCTAATGTCTTGGTTTACTTTTTTAATGCCGCAGTTCACTTTTTCGGCGTTTTGGAAATAATAATCACTACGGAAATGTGTCCTGTTTAGCACATCATGTACGTGACCAATTTCGCGCTGTGTATACGCGTAGAACGTTCGTATTACGCGGCCATCTTCGTGAGACCGGGGGCGAATTGGTCAATATGCAAAGTCTACTGTGTGAATGGTGTATGGATATCCGCTATCCAGTCTTTATATAGAGATCAGTGGAGAGATAACAGTGAGAAGAAATTATAGTTTTAGAGGTGGGAGGAAATCCCCAGAATGATATTCTATGAAAAACCCACGGAATCAGGTAGGGACTGAAAACCCAATCCACATATTGCCCCAGGAGGGAATCCAACCCGGGTCACAGCGGTGGAAGGCGAGGAAAATACCGCTACGCCAACCTGACTCCCCAGTGGTACCATCCTCCCGTCCCCGGCCGCTTCCTTTTTGGAGGCCGCCTGGATTTTTTAATTATTTTTTATTTTTGAAAAATGTAGTAAAAAAACACCGAAAAAGTCCACAAATTCATCGGAAAATAAATACTAATACCAATACAACTCTTTATGACACTGTAAATATGTTCAGTCATGTCAGTTCTCTTGTCCAACTTGTCTTTCATTTTTAAAAGTTTATTTGAACAGTGGAACACCAACGGTTGCAGGAAATTTAAAATGGCGGCCATCTTGAAAACAAAAATAAATAAAAAATAAAAAGCCCCGCTTCCTTCCTTTTTTCAAAAACCCCAGACGAGAAACATGTTTTTTTTTTATTCGACCTAGTCAAATAAAACATATACCACACATGTACATGCAGACCCTACGTTGCTCTAGGGCCCTCAGCAAACCCTCAAGCCCTCTGTCGATTATTTCGTGGATTCTTTCATTTTCCCCGCTATCTCACCCCTGTGCCTTATCTTTCCCAATGAAATTTGATAAACTTTTGGGAAGATCTGCAAATGCTCTTTCAGTTTAAAATTTGACTACGATGCCTCTGCCGTATTTTTTTTTTTTCAATAGGAAAATGTTGGAGTCCAAAATGCGGAGGGTCATGATTTTCCGCAACGGGGACGGCACCGAGATGTTTGAGACCACGGCCTCGGCTGAGAATTTCGGCAGGGTAGGAGCTAACCATGGAAGTCATTGGGGGATTTGTGGCCTTGTGGTTTGGGTTTGTGAGCGACTCATAGTCAGAGGATAAGGGGTTCAAATCCAGCTTCTGACCATAATGTTGTGTCCTTGGGCAAGCCATTTTACTCCCACTTGCCTGTCTCCATGAAGAAGTGTAAATTGGTACCGGTTTTGTGAAATACAGACTCATTGGTGGTATTGCGCATGCTCATGCATAGATAATTAGGAGAGGGACTGGTCACGTGAGAGGGTTTACCCAATAAAAGGGAAAAAGAGTCCGATTTTCATACGTGTCCGATTTTCATATGACACCGGCATTAGCTGGAGAGTAACTTGCGAAGGACTGGCATCCCATCCAGGGAGAATAAAATAGTCTCCATGGTTTCAATCCAAGGAAACAGGAGTTAAATGCCAGCCTGATGGGCCATATCAGCTCACGACAGACTTTACTTAATAATTTACTTTTAAATTCAATAGGGGGAAACTTGGCAACTTGAAATTTTGCACATATTTTTATATAAATTTATAATCTTTTATATTTAGTTTGTACACATACTCCATTTTTTTTGGCAAGATCCGATGTTTTCAAATTGAAATCGTTGACATTTTTTCTGTACTTTCAGTTTCTTGATGACTGCACGTCACGTCTTGGGCTGACTGTCCCAGCTAGGATCATCTATTCCTGGACAGGCTCAGAAGTGACTGATCTGAACGATGGTAAGTTGTTCCATGGGCTCCGTGGGCAAGTACCCCCTCAATGGTAGGAAAGGGAGAGTTGGGAGAGACCACTGGGAGGGCCATTTGGACACATTGTCGACGACGCTCACGCGAAGATGCTATGGCTTTGTGTACCTTCAGAATAAAATACGTCCTATGTACTTTGCGCTAACCAAACTGCAGACGCGATGTGTCCCGTCTGAAACGCTCTCGAAAGTGGTAAAAAAAAGAGCGCCCTCTCTTGTTGGCGCACAGAGCCTATTACTCATTTCAGGCTGGCTGTTATCTGTAAATCTACATAGGATCATTTGAAATTACCCGAAAAAAGTACCTAATTGAATGACAGAACCTTGCTCAAAGTGAAGATGGGACCGATTTAAAAAACCAGTGAATTTATTCACCCAAAATGGTGACTTGACTCGAATGCAGGATGGTTCCATTGCTGGTTTAACACCGATAACCGCATGCATTATAACGCACAGCAGGGAATTAGCATCAAGCAATCATAACGTTTTGACCTGTGTGTGACTTGAGATGTAGGCACGTTGCTTTTAGTGCGGTGTAAGTTGCGTCACAAATCAAACACTAGTCGACTAACGATCCTCGCCAGAACTTGCTCCATGCTGTCCACCCTAGGTTGTCTAGTTCACGTCCATCCAAAAAGTTTCACCTTTGCTTTTTTGTTCCCCCTTCTTTCACCCCGTCTAGTACCCTTATTGGATCGCTGTCTGCAGACCAGCACCACCCCTCTCTACGGCCCTGTCTGGATCTCCAAGGGGGAAAGATTCAGCCCAAAAGGGGTCAAAGGTAAAAACCTGTAATTCAGAAGGGCGAAAGCAATTTAGATTTAATAGGCCATTTATTTGCATTAAAATGGCATTACAAATATTTTAAGTGTGCCCTATTTAAGAAACATGTATATTTTAATAAACATGTTTATTTAAATAAACAATATGTATTTTGATGTAAAGTTAATATTTATGTATAAATAAGTTGAGTATGTATTCCAAATCTTCCAGATTTATTTCAGTTCCACAATGTAATCTTTACCATTTTTCATCCTCTCTGAAAATTTGCATAGATCCTTACAAAGAGAGAAAGGTACATGATATATTCAGGCGTGCAATACTTTCCTCGGACCTGCTGATTTCCTCCTTGTTTCACCTCAAAGTTTATTCTACTAAAAGTTTAAAAACGCTCAGTGTATGAAGTCTTACAGAGCTTGGAATTTCTTCTTGTTTGTACTTCCCAGTTGCATGCCTGGATGTGATGTGATATGTCAAGCTTTTCTGCCTCTCTTGTTTCAATACTTTTTCGTTCTTTTTCTCCAGCCTTTCTGGAGACCACCATCAGACACTGCAAACAGAAGCTGCAGGCCGCCAACAGTTACAAGAAGCAGCTGCAGTACGGCCTGGCTGGGGAGACCCAGCAAGTCAACGTGATTGAGATACTGTCCAAGACTGAACAGGAACTGGAGAAAGAACTACAGGAGGTATTGTCAAGTAGTAAAGTAGAGTCCGTCAGTACCCATTTATGCTCCTGGGCTCAAGGACACAACATATGTGACCGGCTCCACAAAAAAGGGTATTTGCATATTAGTTACTTCCTTTGAGTTCAGATTACACAACTGAGAAAACAGGCTTTGAAATAGCTGGCTTTGTTGTAGAACAACAGAACGATGCACACAAAATGGTTGTTTTTTACACCTTGTTCATCAAAATCAACATTTCTGTGAATGAAACCTGAAACTGTAGGTATTAAAGATGTCATTCGTGATAAAAAATAAAAATCACATTTTGACAAACTTTTTACCCTCTCAATGTTGAGCGGGCTATTACACAATAATGCTCAGCATGACTTAATACCCTTTTTTGTGGAGCCGGTCACATATGACCAGCAGCGGGATTTGAACCCCCTTACCCTCTGATCACAAATTGCAAAATCACAGAGTGAGAACTGGAAGTTTGTGAAACTGAGAAAATGGAGGAAAAAATTCAGAGGAATGATTTTTTTGGGACAATTTTGTTTGTGAGATATCTGAAGACTGCTGCTCTGTAAAAAAAACACAGATTTTCCCCTACTAAACAAAAATACGGATTCTAAAGGGATTTTTTCTCTTTGAAAATGGTGCATATTTGATCACCCCCAAATTTTGTCTGATTTGGCAAAAACAAATTATGTGGTTCCTTTTTAGGTTTTTGTGTAATTTTCAATTAAAGTTGTCTCTAAAATCAATTTAAGCTAAATCTTCTGAGAAGAGCCATGCTGTTCAAAACCATGAAGTATTAACATTTTAACTGGTGACCTTATTTATATTTTTTTTTTGCTGAACAGAAAGTTACATACATTTCCCCCCACCCCCTGTTTTTTTTTGTTTTTTAAACAAGACTGAGGAAGGCATTGATGAGTTCACCGAGGCCAAACGGAAGCTGCAAGACATCTTGGATGAGATATCAGAATCGGTCGTGGAAGAAGAGGTGGGTTCCTTGTCCAATTTATGGGCCCGGTGTATTATTAATTTTAGGGCCCAAACTGATAAACGTGAGGCCTTCTTTCAAAATGAGGCAGAACTGAGCAGAGGTCAAAATGAGTGTTTGTGGATATTGGGTAAGAGAATACAATTCTGTTTACAATACTGTTTGTTGCTCTTCAATCAGACATTCCATTGACAAGTTAAATTTCGCATTAAGTAACATGTCAAAAAAGAAAAATACTGAGCAAAAGGCCTTTAAAAGTGTCGAGTTTTGTATTCGTGAAGATGAAAGATGCCAATGGTTTTTCCTGAAAAAAAAAATTGGTTCCACAATTTTTATACTATTTCTTAAAAAAATTATGTAGTGGACATATCTAGGGCAACATATATCATAAATCTGAAAAATAAAATGACCCTTATTTGGTTTTTGCATTTTTCTCCACTAGGCTTGTGCCCAGTTCCGTCTCATTTTGCCAGAGCGCCTCACAAATATGAGGGACCTGGGTTATGGAACTCTCAAAGTGATTCATTAAGAAGTGGCCTACCATTAAAACGTGTTTACAAATCTATGTTGCTGAATGTTTTTTGTAGACTCAACAATTATTGTTCTTGTACAGATTGTATGAAATTGAAGAAAACAAATAAAAATGTTATTGTAACTTTTGTATGTTTTTTGTTTTCCATCCAGGGTGCTGGAAGCACGTACACCATGAAACACATCAAAGAGTTTGACTCATCACATCGGCTGGTGGGCCAGCAAGGCATCAGGCTGAAGGTTAGTTTCTGAGTCAGAGTGGCTGAGGGAAGGCGTGGGGAAAGGGATGGGGGAAGGAGTCAGAAAGGGGGTGGGAAGGGGAAGGGGTGGGGGAAGGCAAAGCTTTTTCGAAGGCAAATTCCAATTTTTTTGCAAGAGAAATGACGTCAGGAGTTCGCATGCGTGGCTAGTGCGTAAAGCGTTCGGCTCTCACTAAAGTGGCCCAGGTTCGATTCCTGACTCTGACCACATGTGAGTGAAGTTGTTGGTTGATTCTCTCCTGTGCCACAAGTGTTGGTTTTTTTATGGGGGGGGGGGGCTCTCAGGTTTTTCTCGCTCCACAAAAATCAACAGTTTCGATCTCTGGCTGTGCTCCGTGGTCAGACATGGGTCGTATGGCGGCAGCCTAAGGCGCCTTTACATGCCCTTGACTCAACCACATTGTAGCCACATTTCAGCTTCTCAGCTGCAGTCCTTGTGATTTAAGAATCGCACGTGTGTGGAAAAGGGCACACCTGGATTTTCTAAGTATGTTATTTTTCTAGGCGTGTAATTTTTCTAGGCGTGTGATTCTGTGGTCCAAAATGGTACTGAACAATCTGGTATTTGTTTATAATATTCATCTAGGTTTAGAGTAAAGCCATTTTCTCTTCACCGACATACATTGTACATTATTTTGCACAAATTATGAAGTATAATTATGCTGTAAATGTATGCCAAGGTGTGCGGTACTGACGGATTCAGGCGTGAGATTATTTGCACTTCTTTGGAAGCTTTTAGGCGTGTGATGGCGTGGGTGTGCAATCGCACACCTCAAATCAGAAGGACTGCAGCTGCGAGCAAGAACGATTCTCCCTTTATAAGTATTAATAATTAATAAATCAACATTTTCATAAATTTGAAGAGTCTCTGTAAGAAAAGAATCATCATTGATCATCATGTTGACATGATTTGCACAGTTATGTTTGTTTTATTTTTGACATTACAGTGTTACTTTTAATTGGTCCTGTTTCTTCCACAACAGGTGTATGAAAATGGTCAAGGTGATGGGGAAGAGACGGTATTCTTCAACTTGAAAGAAGCATCCAAAGGCGTCGGCAACGACCACAATCTACTGCTGCAGAGGGTAGTTATCTCTTGCTTTGTTGCTGGCAAATTTATTATTATAATTCACATTTAATTGTTTGTTTGTTTATTTCTGATCTTAAATCAGAATAACTCATTCATAATTAATGTGGTTTCCCACAGGGCATTAAGCATAAAATTGCAAGGAAGATAATAAATAAAATAATTAAGAAAATATTCAAACAACGAGGAGATATGAAAATATTAAATGGGCTGAAACGTGAGATCATAACCGAACTTATGTCATTAGACAAAAAGGAGACATGAACGGGTACTAACATAATATCAATGTGTAAACAAAAAAACAAAAACTAGAAACTGTGACTTGTTAAGACTTGTGTGGACTTGTATTGGACTTGTGAGAATTTGTGAGGACTTGTGTGGACTTGTACATGACTAGTGAAAACTTGTGAGCACTTTTGCTGTGGACTTGTGAGCACTTTTGCTGGACTTGAGGATGTATGAGGACCTGTCTGGACTTGCCAGGACTTGTGATAGATGTGTGAAGACTTGTGGGGACCTTTGAACACTTGTTCAGGACTTCTGATGGTCTTGTGAAGACTTGTTAGGACTTGTGAGTACATGTACTTGTGGAGACTTGTGAGGACTTGTGATGGACTTGTGATGGACTTGTGAGGACTTGTGATGGACTTGTGAGGACTTGTGATGGACTTGTGAGGACCTGTGAGTACATGTACTTGTGATGGACTTGTGAGGACTTGTGATGGACTTGTGAGGATGTGTGTGAGGATGTGTGTGAGGACTTGTGATTGACTCCACCACAACACTGGTTACGAATTACTGCATGTTTTTCTGCATTTGTGTGTTTTTTTTATAGTTACTGGATGTGCTGACTCGCTGGGCCCGCGTGGAGAAGAACACTACAGCCCTGAGCACCGTGGTCACCAAGATCTTTGACCGAGAGGGCAAGGAGATCACCGACGTCTACTCCCTCAAGACGGACCAAGAAGTCTGGATTTCATTTGGAGAGCCGTTCAGAGATCCGAATGGTTCGTTCAAATTTCTAAAATGGAAATGTCCTCTTTTGGGCAAATGGGATTTTCTTGTTTACAAGTTTCTTAACAACTTTTGGCTAAAGGTGTACTACATTTTTGGAGAACACAGAGTAGGAATGTTTTGAGTCAAAAAGCGCAAATTTTAATGGAACACATTGTTCAAAAGTGTAAAGTTAAACCTAACCACCCCAACGCTTCAAAACCCAACTGCAGGTTTTGTTTGATTCTGTTGGAGTGAGTACTGCACTAGTAAACTGAATATGCTTTACATGGGGTCAGGGCTGGCATACCACCATAATCAGAGTCCAACAGTTTGGGTGTTGAGTTTACCAAATGGTGTTGGATGTTGCAAGAGTGAGGAAGGTTCCTAGTTTATCACTCAAGGGTGTTAGGGGTAACTGGTTTTTCTCAGAACAACATTCATCTCACATAAAAAGGTTGTACCAAGGGTGTTTCTTAACACCTCCCCCCCCCAAAAAAAAACAGGTTTTTGATTTCCTTCGTGAGGACCGCATGTGTACAACATTCCCTAATTCTCTGAACTGTGTATCTTTTCTTTGTGGCTTGCTCTGCAGTGTACTGTCTGCAGCTGACTTTTGACAAGGTGCAAGGCCTGGATCTGTATGGGGAGAGGAATGTAGCAGTCAGGGAACCACTCAACTCTGACGACATCCCGAAGGGAGAGGAAAGGTTAGTTGTCATTCAGTCCAAAGGTCAAAGGTTGAAAGCCAAAGGTCTGTAGTCTGGCAACCTATCCTGAGAGTTGAAGGTCGTAAAAAAGTGAATTGAATATCTAGACATTTTGTAGAGTATCACGGTTAAGTGGTTATGATGTCTAACTTGTAAGGCAGTGTGTTAGTCTGAACTCTGACGGGTGTTCGTGGTGCTTGTGTTCTTGGGCAATGCACTTTACAACAATGAAGTAATTATTCCATAACTAAAGGTATGCAGTTTTTTGTTTGATGTTCCATTCAAAAGTGAGAAAACTTTGGTATTGCTAGAAAAATAAATAAATAAAAAAAAATGTCCAGTTAAACTAAAAAATCATGGACAGTACATCTTTAAGGCCAAGTAAAAAAATAAACCAATTTCTCGTCCCCGCCCAGTTCCTTTTGTCCTGCCCGCCTTTTTTTTCTTTTGTTTTTTATTCATACATTCGCAATACATTTTGCACATATATTGTCAATATATTGTCTTTTTTTTATTCATTCCCAACAAAAGTGTAGCTATGTAGAAAGGGTTTTGGCGTATTTGGAAAATACTTCATCTTTTCCAAAAGCCTGTAAGAGAAAATATTTGGGTTTTTTTACTCGGCCTAAACCATCTTAAATCTTTTTTATTGCTACCAGACCAAGCCATTGGGAGGCCACCATAAGTTTTCCTCTCATCTATGACTACGAGGAAGTGACCTATGACCTTCCGAAGGAGGTACAGGATCAGAAACGTCTGGCCGTGGAGAAACGTGAGCTGGATATTACTGGACACTTCTTACAACACAAGGTCAGATCACTAACTTCAATCCTACCTCCGTCTTTTTTTAAGCTGTGTTCGCACTGGACATTTTTGGTAAAATTTTACCAAAACCGTGGTAAAAATTCCAGTAGTAGAATTTTACCTGTGGAAATGACATTCAGGTTGATGTTTTATTTTACCCCACAGGATGATCCCAGCAAAGTGTTGTACTGTGAGTTAGCTTTACAACCCAAGAAGAAGCAAGGCAGTCGTGATGTCTGGCCACCCAGATCACAGACCTGGGTCATTAATAAGGTAAAAACCCTCTTCTTTTGTTTCAAGAAAATTGAAAGTGTGATTTTGTGGAAGGGTTGTGTGAGAGCAACGCCATGTCTGATTCTGGAGATCATCAGGAAAGAAAGTAATCAAGTCTGTCACAAGCCTATATGGCCCATCAAAAAGCGTTTATCTCCGGTTCAATGGCATGACACGACTGAGAATATTTCTGTTCCTCCCTGGATGGGATGCCAGTCTATCGCAGGTTACTGCCCAGCTAATGCCCATTTGTGCTACTGGGCGGAGTGAGGCAAGTTGGGGTAAAGTGACTTGCCCAAAGACACAACATATGACCAGCAGTTGGATTTGAACCCCTGACCCTCTGACATGATCAGGAGTCACGATCCACTGGGCACACTCTCCGAATTTTCAAAGAAAGGACTTTATTTATTTCCTGATTTGTTTTGTGTTCGTTATTTGTAATACAGAGAGGTCAGATATACTGCCGGTCCATGCCGCAGCTAGCCCTAGCTGTCATTGAGAAGTGGCGAGTGGATAAACAGTTCGCTGATGGGGAAACACCTGCGCAGGGCTTGGCTGTGGGACTAGAGAAAAGGTAGGTTGAACAATTAAGGAGCCAGCATGAATTCATCAATTTTCAACCGATTGGTTAAAACTGACTTCACTTTCCTTAAAAAGAATTATCCTCCACAGCCATAAATCAGGAAGAAAAATTTAATCTGCTTCAATGAAAATAGGATTTGAATAAAAACACAAGTAAGGAATATATATTTTGGGAAGTTAAAAAAAAATTCACCTTCGCCGACTCTTCAACTGCAAATTTATCCTATCAAAGTGCTCCACTCGCTGTAGGAATTAAATACCTCATTCCGGGATAGATTTGCAGTGTCGCATGCATATAGCAGTTGCCATTGTAAAATGTGTTAAGGCTTCTGTAAAAATAGCCACTTTGTATTATATCATCTACGCACAATATCCGTTTTTCCCTACACCTAGCTATTTCGGATTGGTACCCTCATGTCTTCTAGACATTTAATAAAAATTGCGCCAATTGTCAGAGTTTGAAAATCTTCTGTTTCCAATTGACCGCGAATAAAAAGGACTCAAGGACGGAAGCATGATAATTAATCGGGATAATTACACAATGCTTTATCCAATTCAGCCAACATTTTGGCACCCTCTCTATTAATTGGTCTTTGCATTTTGGCAATCAGAATTCAACATCCAACCATTTTATTTCCTACTCAGACAACAAGGCAACCCTTACCAACAGTGGGTGTTCAGCGAAGATGGCTTCATTTATGCTACGGTGAGTAACAGTGGCAATCAGTGTGTTACACGAGTGTTCAGGATAATTTCACTAAGAGAATATGTGCTAAGCCGGTTTTAAACAAGTACGCTCAAAACCGGAGCTAGGAGCTTGGTCGCCGATAATGGCCCGAGCCAGAGGTGAGGGCCATTGTCTGCGTTCAGGTCCCTAGCGGGTTTTAATCGTACTTGTTTAAAAACAACCGAGCACATATTTATTGTCCTTGTTATACTCTTGTTTTCAGGCTGAACCGGATCTGGTGCTGACGTACATCGAGGCCAAGGCGCAAGATGACGATGTGGTCGCCATGGAGATGATGATGGCTTTTGGCCAGCAGCAACCCCCGGACCAGCAGGCCCACAGCAGCTCGTCGGATCCGTATGGCGAGGATCCAGACTTTGAGTCCAACGGGGAGGAGAATGCGGACGGAGGGGAGAAGAAAGATGAGTCTAAGACGGAGAAAGATGCGTATCCGGGTCAGGTGTACGCGATGGCTGTCATTCCAAGGTTACCGGCCAGACACCCTTGGGCCAAAGCTCAAAGGTATGTCATGAGAAATGTGACCCCACCATGTCAAATGAAATTTAAAGATGTACAGTCCATGCTCATCAGATTTGTTGCTCCATGGAACTTGGTCCTGATTATTCACGAGCCAAATTTCCATTATTCTAGCCAAATTACTTTATTCTTGGTGCATACTTTTAAAGGTAATATACAACATTTGCTCTTGCTGTAATTTTCAGAAATGGATGGAATTTTTTGGTTTAGCATTTTATAGCAAATATTGTTACACTGACCTGTTTAAAGTTTTGTGTTCATAGATGCTGGAAAAACCAAGGAAAAAAATGCTTTACTTGAAGCCTAGTTCGCTGATCCTACTTCAGACAAAACGGAGCAATTTTTAGAAGTGGGGGAATCGAACCAGACCAGCTGGTTTGCACCTGTTCAGGGGATGTGTAATCGATTGCAAACCAAATCTGGACTAACTAAATTTGGTAAAGTGGGGGAGTATTAGAGAAAAAACAGTTTTTTTTCTTCCAACAATGGTCGGCCAACCATCATTGGAAATTGATTCAAAAATTCCACTTTTCTTGAAAATGAAAAAGTACACCAGGTGCCATGATTTCAAGGGATGCTTTAAGATGACTATTCACAGGATGCTTTAAGACGACTATTCCCAAGCTTTCGACTATTTATTTAAAGTCCAGTAAAGTATGTCATATTAATTCGGTAGGTTTTTTTTCGATGTTACAAATGTTGTATATTACCTTTTAAATTCAGTTTTGGCAGCCATTTTCATACTTAGTTTTGTTGTTGAAATCCCAGATGGGCCATGAAGCAAGAGAGACTGGACAACCTGGGCCAGTGGAAACACACCAAAGCCCAGAACCCGCTGTGGAACAAGCTGGCCTACTCCTGGCCAGTCAACAGCCGGGGGGAATGGAACGAGGACTGTGATTGGCCCATGGAGGGCTACTTCATCCCCTATGCCCCGCCCATTAAGAAGATGACTCGCAAGCCGAGCGCCTCAGAGGCCGAGGCCACCTACGGCAGCGAACAGAAGGAATCGCCAGTCCGAAGTAGGCACCAAATTATTTATTTCCTTATTCATGAATTGAATTGTTTACCACTGTTTTACACCTGTTGGGTGAAATTTTCCATGCAACTTCTTTGGATTATAATGGGTAGCATGAGTGGCATGTAGTACGTAAAGCGCTCACCTCTCACCAATATGGCCCGGGTTCGATTCCCAGCTAGGACCAAATGTGAGTAGAGTTGTTTGTTAAGTCTCTCCTGTGCCACGAGGGCTCTCCGGTTTTCCACCCTCCGCAAAGATTACCACTTTCGATCTGTGGCTGTGCTCCTAGGTCAGACATTGGTCGTATGGCGGCAGCCTAAGGCGCCTTTACATGCCTTCGGCTCGATCACATTGTAGCTACTTCCTCTGCAATTAAGCTTGTCAGCTGCGAGTAAGGATGATTAGCCCCCCAAATTATTAAGAAAATGACTCCTAAACAGATATATTGTATGACACTGTCCGGTGTGGCAACCTGTCTTCACAGTTTAAATGTTAACAATTGTTTAAATCGAGCCGACCTGTCATTGTTTCTTGTGAATCAAAATTTCTAGTAAGGTTCCAAGCAGGTGTGCATGAGATTTGATCATGAAAGTTTCAGACGAATCTTAATTTGGGGGGTTTGTTTTGCTTCCGCAGCTGTCCCATTGAGGCTGAGAGTTCTGAAGAATGGGGAGAGGGACACTCACAGGCAGGCCTTCGTCGTGGGACCAGACCTCACAAATGTAAGCAGCTATAGGGCTCACTCAATGATGGCTATATCTGTAGGAGAACTGCAACTGCATATTTTACGCAATCAAGCACGCATTATGCAGCAATGGTTACGCATTACGCAGCGATGGTTTATATTTAGAATTGCGCCCTTTGTGTAAAATCATTAAATCAGCTGTCATTTCCAGGTAATTACCACTTTAACTTTGGACATTGTTTTTGTTTGCGTAGTATTTTACGCAATAGTTCGAAAAGTGATTTTGGCTGATTTTTTTCTTAATTTGATGTTTCATTCAAAATGAAATAAATCTTGTGTTGCTTGAAATTAATTAAGGAATGAATGTGTGCTTGGCCTGTTTTAAACAAGTACATTTAAAAGCGGCTTAGGGGCGAGCCGAACACATTCATAAAAACCTTTGCTGTCAAAAAGTCAAAGTACATTGTAAGTCAAAAATTGACAAAATTCCAACTGCTTTGTTCAACAATTTTTTTTTTCAAATTTTGTGACACACCCCTATGGCCATGTTTATGATATGTGCCTCGCACTTGTAGTGCTAAAAATCTCCTTATATGGATGTGGCGCAGAACGCAACAGTGTATTATCAATATATTTCAATAGACCTTAATAGCTTGACAGTGGGCAGACTGGCAGAGGCATAAATAGTGGGCCCAGATGTTTGGTAGTTGTTTCAATCAAATCTGTCTGGATTTTCCAACTTTGTGAATGTTCAGATGATGAGGGACCTGAATCGGACCGCGCTGAACGGCAAGCGGCCCCACCGTCGCAGCCAGTCACGGGAGAAGAGCCTGGAGCAACTGGAGCAAGAGATGGCACAGAAGAAGCAGGCTAAGAAAGATGAACTGAAGGCACTGGAGTTCCAACTGGTAAGAGAGGGAGAGAGAACTACGTGTCATAGTGCCGAGATGTGATATTCAGCTCAGTGTATATCACACATTTTGAGAAAACAGAGAAAACCTTTGCACAATTCTTTGTTCTAGTAACTGGGTCTGCTGCCAGAACTTCTGATTCAAAAGTTGCCATTTTATATTTAGAATTGTGCCCTCTTGTGTCAAATCCCTAAATCAGCAGCAGAGGTGGCAGCAAGTCATTTTTTGCAAGTCCAAGTCAAGTCACAAGTCATTGTTTGCAAGTCCAAGTCAAGTCACAAGTCATTAGGTCCAGTCACAAGTCAAGTCACAAGTCATTTGGTCTAAAAACAAGTCAAGTCACAAGTATCTTTGTCCAAGAACACGTCAAGTTGCACATCATTTGGTCCAGCTGTAATAAGCTAAAAGAATTAACCTGGCGTGAACTTACGAGTTATTTTGAACATGCCTCCTTAATTCCCCTTTTTCAATGTGTTGCAATTACTATTAGTTTATCACGTATCTGTCGGATATTAGCCCTTTGTATACTTTAATAAATTTACTTTACATTGTAGAAATAAATGCTGAGATGACCGTGAAAAAAGACTTCCTCACTCGATTACATGTAGTATACTAACACTTTATTGTTCAATTTTCATGTATACTAAACGCCTACCAATGGGTTAGTTAGGCTATCCGGTATTTTACATGCAATTGACAAAGGCCTGCTTTCTTTTCATGAAAGGTTCCTTTCAAAGTTTGTTCAACCAATACATTAAGCAAGAGACAATTGGTCATTGAAAACTGTAGTTTGTTGTGACAGTCTTATTGAAAACTTTTGAAACTAGTGGGAACTATTCATTTTACTGGATTCAGTCACTGAGGTCTATTTTCTGGAATGAAAAAGCTAATTAAAAGTATAATAGCTTAATTAAAGTGTATTGGGTCGCTCGAGTAGCGTCTGACTTGGGTTGGTAACAAGTCATTTTTTGCAATCCCAAGTCAAGTCATAAGTCATTGTTTGCAAGTCCAAGTCAAGTCACAAGTCAAAGCTGGTATTTACAAGTCAAGTCACAAGTCACAAAAATAGCGACTCGAGTCCGACTCGAGTCCAAGTCACATGACTCGAGTCAGCAACTCTGATGAGCAGTCATTTCCAGGTAAATACCACTGTAACTTTGGACATTGTTTTTATTTGCGTAGTATTCCACCCAAAAAGTTCCTGAGTCCGAGTTGACCTGGTACCAGGTTGACTCGGGTAGGAGACAGTTGACTTGGGTACAAGTTGAGTCGGGTACAGGATGAGTCAGGTACAGGTTGATTCGTGCACAGGTTGAGTCGGTTACGAGTTGACTTGGGTACGAGTTGACTTGTGTATAAGTTGACTCGAGTACAAGTCGTCTCGGGTATCAGTTGTCTTGGGAACGAGTTGACTCGGATGCGAGTTCACTTGTACATGAGTTGACTCGGGTACGAAATGTCTCAGGTACGAGTTGACTCGGATACAAGTTGACTCGGATACAGGTTGATTTGGGTACAGGTTGTTCAGGTAAGAGTTGACTTGTGTATGAGTTGACTCTGATACAAGTTGTCTGAGGTACGAGTTGACTGGGAAACAGGTTGTTCGGGTACAGGCTGATTCCGGTACAGGTCGTTCGGGTACAAGTTGACCCGGGTACGAGCTGTCTTGGGTACGAGTTGACTCAGATACAGGTTGATTCGGGTACAGGTTGATTTGGGTACAGGTTGATTTGGGTACATGTTGTTCAGGCACGAGTTGACCCGGATACGAGTTGACTCAGGTACAAGTTGACTTGGGTACAAGTTGACACTTGAAAAGTTACATCTTATTGTCTCTACAGTTCTTGGATCGCTGCACGGCCCTGCTGAACCTGCCTTTCGCAGCCCGCCGCCTCTTTGACCAGGACGGCCGGGAACACGATACCTTGGACCATCTCCAGCGCGACCAGCTGGCCTTTGTGTCCTGCGGGGAGGCCTGGAACGACCCGAACCTCTCCGGTCAGGAGCAGCAGCGACGGACGATACTAGCCACGCTGGCTGCCGACGTCAATGCCATGAAGCAGTACTGCGCACTGCGCAACCCTATGAGTAAGTTCTCAGCAGCATTGTAGCCTAAGTGCTCATGACGAATCACGAGTCACCACAAAGCCATCTCGAGTCACTCACAAGCTATTTGTGACAAAGGCATTCCTTTGTTATTAGAAAGGTAAAAGTTGTTTTTTTCGCAAGGACGTGTACATGCCTAGGAGCCGTGTTGCACCTCAAGAAACACAAGTATTTTTTCAACATTTTTATAAAGGTTCCGCGGAAACTCGGATTCTATAAATACCTTTACTTAAATTCTTTTCCATGTTTGAATGATTGAACATGTCTGTGCCATTCACCTTCATTTCAATGCAAGAATACCCAGACATTGGAGGTTGCCATCTTGGACTGGTAACAGTTCCCGAAAACTAAAGCGCATGTTTATGCATACAGGATTGGAAACAACCAAATGAATGTTATCAGTTTCCAGATAGCTATGTATGTGCACATGTATCCATTTGCATACAGAACCTGAGGCTAATTGCTGCACTGCATTTTAAACTGTTTACTTCTGTCGTACAGATATGGTTATAGAAGTGGAAGGCCCTCTGGCTGCAGGGAGCCCTCTTGTGGTCAACCCGATTGCAGTGTCACCCGAGGAGAGGCAGCACATCCTGCGAGGTCCCACACCGGAGGCAGAGCTTGAGGAAGAGGGTGAGACAGACGGCAACATGTATGCAAATTTGAGGTAAAAAAAGTGTGTTTTTCCCTCTGTTTTTGGTGTCTGAAACCTGAAAAACAGGTGTGTCTTTTCAATAGCTTTTGCACCTCTAGTTTTTACAAAAGATCCATCCATAGTTCCAAAACTGATTTTTTTTTTTTTCATGTTTCATTCAAAATGAAATAAATCTTGTGTTGCTTGAAATTAATTAAGGAATGAATGCGTGCTTGGCCTGTTTTAAAAAAGTACATTTAGAAGGGGCTTAGGGGCGAGCCGAACACATTCATAAATACCTTTGCTGTCAAAAATTGACAAAATTCCAACTGCTTTGTTCAACATTTTTTTTTCTTCAAATTTTGTGACACACCCCTATGGCCATGTCTATGATATGTGCCTCTCACTCGTAGTGCTAAAAATCTCCTTATATGGATGTGGCGCAGAACACAACGGTGTATTATCAGCTCCTTAAAACCACCCATGTGACGGGCTCTCCACCAATCGAAATGGGTAATTAACTGTCTCGGGTGTTACTGAATAGTAATACACTATTTTTGGGTTTCACCTCAAAAATAGCATGGACGGTAAATCTTTAATCCTGTGAATGAAGCAATTTTGTTTTTTAGAGGTGTCATGATTTGACAACAAAATATTGAGCGAAACAATTCTTTGAAAAGATTTGGTTTTATTTTTTTTCTGGACAGTTCCCATGAGCGAGCCCACATTGCGTCGGACCAGCGGGCAGAAGGGCTGAAGTGGCCCTGGGAACGAGTCCTGAACGTCAGCCTGGATCAGGTCATGGAGGTCAACCAGGGGTCAACCAGCGACGAGGCGGCGTTCTCCAATGCCGACCTCTACAGGAAATTCAAGTAAGGCCAAGTTCGGGCAAGGACCATTAGTCGACTAGTGGTTGATTTGTGACGTATCTTACGCCTGCGCACTAATAGCAAAGTGCGAACGTCTCTAGTAGTCGAACGCTGGTCAAAATGTCATTGCAAAACGTCTGGATCCTGGCTCCCTGAGTGTACGTTATGAACGCGCGCGGCTATGGTTACCAGCGAAGCAACCAACCCCAGTAGGTTGGTTCCAAATAGTCGACTAGCGTAGTCAACCACCGTCGACTAGACAGAGTTCGGGCAAGCGTTAGTGGACCAATGGTTAACTATAGTCCTTGCGCGAACTTGCCCATAGTTGTGATTCCCCTGGCCAATCATTGAACATGTGTTGCATTCTATCAGCCATCTCCGTACTGCTTTCGTACTGCTTGGATTGATATGAGTAAAGCTTTCGTGTATTCATTGTTACGAAATTGAAAGATAAAGAACACCCTCTAAGATGGCTGCTTCGCATAAAGTCTACAACCTGTATCATTATTGGCACTGGTTTTTTCAACAGTTGTAGCCATAAAAGATCATTTGCAGTAACACAGAAATGACACAAGAACCGATATATTGCTGACAAACAAACTTAGATTTTGGGTTTTGCCCTTGGAAGAAGGTCGATTGTCGTTTGACCATCAATGGAAGTTGATACAAAAATTCAACTTTTCTTGAAAATGACAGCACACCCAGTGCCATGATTTCACAGTATGCTTGAGACTATTATTAACTTTCATTCAAGTAATGGTATTTCTTTTTTAATTTAGTAGTTTTGTTTTTTGATGTTTGGAAATGTTGTGTATTACATTTAAGTTCCTGTTGCCTAGTATCTGGAGTCGTTCTAAATAAAGCCAATAGTCTAATCATGTAACTGTTTCAGACGTCAATCATTACTTAGGCCGTGTCCGAAACGGGCTTCCAGAGCTACGGCTACGTCTATTGTCAGCGCGTCCCCGCGTATTTTCAATGAGCGCAGACCTAGACCTAGCTCTAGACAACGGATTCGGATGCAGCCTTAGTTTCAGACGTCAATCATTAGACTTAGTCCAAGTCTGCAAAACAATTTGGTGCAAAGCATTCTCTGAAATGTTACTCTGAAATGGGTATATTAACTGCACACCAGATCAGCCACAAAGTCACCCATTGTTGGATTTGCTCTTTAAGTTCATGTTCTTAAAACCTGTTGTTCCAATCTTCTTCTTTTCTGCCAGGCCCAAGCAACCCAAGAGCCCTCGCAGTACCCGTTTATCCCACCAGCGTTTTGTCTTTGCCGACGGCTTCCTAGCCGTCCAGACAGCCCCGTACCTGGTGGTGGGGCTGGAGCAGCCCGAGCTGGAGCTGTCCCGGGTGGTATTGTGCAAGAAGAGCACGGAGGACGCCTCACAGCGATGGGAGGCCGATACGCAGGGGTGAGGTTTAGTACTGGTTGTCTGTGCGGGGACTTTAGGGGGCAGTATTAGGTTTAGACTTGATGACAAGTCGTTATATAATCATATTTTGTCCTTGAACTTCAGTCGAACAAAATCGGAACAGCTGGTATAAGACTAGTACGTACTCGACCGGCGGTTTGCATTTATTAAGTTGTGTAAAATATATAACAGGCATGCAACTTTTCCTCGGATCAGCTGATTTCCTCTTTTTTTACTTCACATGTGTGCCATTGAAAATAGAAAAACACTGTACAAAGTCTGGGAAAAAATTGAATTTCCTCTTTTTTTTGTGATTTCCCAGTTGCATGCCTGATATAAATGTGGGAAGGGGAGGGGGGGCTAATTGTCAGCAGAAGCTGCATTGTGAAGGACGTAGCTACAGTGTGGTTGAGCCGAAGGCAGATAAAGGCGCCATACGACCCATGTCTTGCCAAGGAGCACAACCAGATTGAAAGTGTTGATTTTTGTGGAGGGAAAACCCGAAAAAAAAACCGTTTTTTTTTAAAACAGGAGCGAATCAACTAACAACTCTACTCATATATGACCAAAGTCGGGAATCGAACCAGGGCCACAGCGATGAGAGGCTAGCGCTTTACTGGTTCGCGCGCTCAGTGAAAAATACGCCTGACTTATTTTATTCTTAATGTGCACAAAGCCATAGTGTCTTTGCATCACATCAGGCGTCGTCAGCAATGCGCTCGAATGTCTCACCCCAGTGGTCTTCCCCAAATCTCCCTTTCTTACTGCCGAGGGGGTACTTTTGCATATAGCCCATTAGTATATGAGATGCGATCAAGCTACATGAGTCATTTGTCGGGAATCTCTATTTGGAGATTCAGGCCAAAATAGGGCCACTTCATCACATGACTTCATCACATCTCTAGGTGTTCCGACTTCCGTAATTTTTGAACTAAAGATGGTATCAGCATGCGGTGAATCACAGCAGTAATGCTGAGATTGTTCTCTTTTGAAATCTGTAATAAAATTGTTTTTGACCAGAGTCGACAAACGACTCATGTAGCTTGATCGTATCACATATACAGTTTGAAAGGACATGGCTACCAGACTTTCCTAAAGATCTAAGGTGAATTAAGTGAGCATGAAGAATTTGGACATTTCTTGTGACACCGGGAAAATATATTTCTATACATTCGCTATGGAGGGGGTACATGTGCACAATACAATACAATAAAACTTTATTATCCCATTGTGGGAAATTCCCATTGCCTTTTTACACAAATTTGATTTAAAACACATAAAAAGCACATAAAACACATGAAACACTTAAAAGCACGAATGTTAAAACTACACAAATACAAAATACATACATCAATACAATAAATAAAAACCAAAATTAAATCATAAAATCTGTCCGTAAGCAAGTAAGATTTACTGTGTAGGCCTACCTGTGTGTTATTCCTATTTGTTTTATAAAAGATAGAAGACGAACTTCGTCAACGGAGGATAAGGGTCGCAACACAGCAGCTCAGTGTTCCAACTGCTCATTGAACCACCTGATAGCTTCTGGAACAAATGAGCTGCCATATCGCGTAGTTCTTATCCTCCGTTGTAGAAGACGGTTACTTCGGGAGTTGTGGACAAACTTTGTATGCAGTGGATGGCACCTGTCAGACATAATTAGTTGTAATTTATTGCACATGTTAGACTTGAATAAGTCAATCAGTGGTTCCTGTTGATGGCCAATAATCCTGCTAGCTTGTTTAACTATTTCATCCAACATAATGTGATCCTGGGTCCTCATATTTCCCATTGGTAGCCCATTGGTATATACTTGTGGAAATGAAACGATTCAAGAACAACAGTGGTATTAATTTTCTTTTTTGTTCACTGACTACCCTAGGTTCGTCCGTTCCAAGTTGAACCCAGACCTGGTCCTGGGAGCTCAGATGCCCAGCACGGCATCAGACGATGATGCCGCTGCCCCCAGCAGCAGCTTCTGTGGCCAGCCGGTCACCCTGCAGCACCAGCGGACGGTCCGCTACGGCACGGCCAACCAGAAGTGGTCGTTTGAGAAGGAGACGGGGTTTGTGGATGCGTTTGCTGCAGACATCAAGGACAAAGGTTCGTGAACGGTGAAATTTGGGGGGTTTTGGTGTCATCTTCAAGAGGTAATATTAGGACATTTGTAAATAAAAAGCCATATTTCCTCTGAGTAAGCCCCCTTCACTATTTCCCAGCGTTTCCACATTGCTAATGTTGCTAGCATCGTGACTACTTTGGGCGTGATCCCTGGCTACATGGCATGTATGGGTTTATGGCTTCTGACTAGCGCCCCTTGAACAAAGACATTGACAAAATGGGGAACCGCCAACATAGGGCTGGAAAGCTGAGTTGGTAGAGCACCAGAACGGTAATCTGGAGGTCACAGGTTCAGATCTCATTCCAGTCAGGTTTTTAGTTCAACTTTAAAAAGATATGTCAATTTTTTTTTTACAATGAAAACCCTGATTTTTTGGTTCATTTGTAGAAATTACAGCAGCCAATAAGGCCAGTGTATGTACCTTTGCAGTATGCGGAGAAACTCCCCTTCAACAGACGGTAAGTCATGGCATCCTGTACTTGATTTAAGCAGCTATTGTTAGTCGGCTCCGTGTGTGACATCGCGTACATGTAGCTACAATCAGCTGAATGAGAATCATGGCCCGATTGCTGATTTCGGGTTTGTGTCGCAAGAGGGCATCATTCAAAATATGACTCGGCAACATTTGAATTGAAATTGAATATTGTGTTTTTTTCAAAGTATACAGCATTCACTGAGCTAAAGTTCATTGGGTTAGTTGTTAAGCACCCGTCTTTAGATTTTGAGCACTTTTGTTGCTTCAAACGAACAAAACACATCAATGACAAATGATCCATTCTATCTTTAATACAATGCACCATTGGAAAGTCGTGTTCAGACGAATCCAGAAATAAAAAAATCTGCTCATTTTGTGATGATGGTTCACATATCCTTAAACAACTTTTCATAGTTAATAAACAATTCAAAGCTTTTTAAATGAGAAAATCTGAAGGGTTTTGAGCGTTCTTACATAATGTACTGATTTGTTTTTTATCGCAGTTAGAGGTTAAAAGTCATTTTCTCCCAATGTGTAGGGCTTTGCTGTTACGGGTGTCAAATCAGCTGACCCTGTCATCGTGTGCGCTGCCTGCGCTCGCTCCATGAGAGCCAATCACAGACTACGGAAGCTAGAAGACGCGACGGAATTCGTCTGCGCAGTGGGCCTCGCTCCAAAGCGCAACGTCAAGATGATGGGATGTTTCCAGTGTCTGAATGGAAAGGTAACATTGTATACAAATAATGAATGTTTACGAGTGCAATGGTAAGAATAATTTTATGAGGCGACAGATGGAACATTCCAATGAAATTACTCTTTCCATTGCACGAATGTGACACATTCATTAGTTGTCTTATACAGCACCTAAATAACTCCTCGTCATCTGATTGGTCAGAACCTCCAAATGCGTGACCATGGACTATAACTTTAAATTTTGCAGTGTGGCTGCGCGTTGGGTTGGGAAGAATAATCCAATGACACGTGATCAACTACACACCAATCAGATGACGGGGATTTATTCAGGCTTTGTATAATATCAAATATCAAGGATGGGAATCCACATTTAATACTGGTGAATGTTTAGAATCAACAGTTAAATCACTGCAGAGTAACGTTTTGATTATAATAATCAGGGCACTTATATAGCGTTCTTACACAAACTGGTATCACAACGCTTTACACAAGAAAACAATTACAGTGTATAAACCAAAGCGGAGAATGGAAATAATAGCAAGGTATGAGGCTATGAATTACTGTGAGCTTTCCTGCCAGACATGAGGTTGAGAGTTTGCAGTTCTCTGTCACGCAGGCCCTACACACACACCATACACACAGTCGTTTTTTGATATGCTTCCGAGGATCGGCTTTGTGTTTTCCTTTGTTCCCTCATCTAAACCTTTCCCATAGACTTCATGCACAAACCTGTGTTCGAGGACAATAGGCACCGTCGTTCGAGGATTTGTGCTCCTTTTGTTGTCTGTCCTCGAGCGTAATACAATACAGGAACAGGCAGGCATGTTCAGCAAATGCATGCTGTGTGTGTTGCGCGAATGAGAGGCACTGACCACTGGTACATGAAAACATGCATTGTACATCGTATTGGGGGACAGGCATCATTAATTCTAAGTAAAATAAAACTCATAGAAAATGCAGGTATCTTTTGACTTTTAAAAGTTGAGTATTCACATCACAAGAGGGCGCTGTTTCTCCATTCTAATACTTTCCTCCTCATTCTGCGCTTGTCAGGTGGACCTGTCCACGTTCGAGGCATCCAACACCGTCACCCAGTATGACAAGGAACTCAAGAGACTGCGACAGATGTCCAGCGCTCGCATCATTGCCAGGGAGATATCCGCCTACCAGACGGTGCAGATGGTGAAAATACTAGCCCACCGCAACGGGGATGGGCGGAGCACGGAGGGCGTGGTCATGAACGGATCGACAGTCAGGGGGGTGTGTGTATATATGTGTTCATGTGTTTGGGTGAGGGTGGGTGGGGTTTAGAGGGAATGGGGATGGGCGGAGAAAGATAAGCGTGGTCATGAGTGGATCGACAATCAGGGGGTATGTATATATTTATCTGTTTTGGGTTGAGGATGGGCGGGGTTAAGAGGGAATGGGGATGGGTGGAGCAAATAGGGCGTGGTCCTGAGTGGTTCCACAGTCAGGGGGATATGTGCATATCTTTTATTTGAAGAAGGATGGGCGGGGTCAAAAGGGAACTGTGATGGGCAGAGAACAAAGGGTGCGGTCATGAGTGATGGGAGGGGTGTGAAATGTCAGCTTAAAAGCTGATTTCAGCTTTTTATTGTGTTGGATTTCAGCTTTTTTTCAGCTTTTTTCCCTCACTTGCTGTGTACAAAAATATAGGAGATTTCCAAATTTCAGCTTTTTTACACTTTTTTTCCGGCTGTTTTCAGCTATTTTTTTTCAGTAGTCACTCGCACCCCTGGTGATGGTCATGTTATTTTGCCATGGTTTTGTTTGTTTCATCAGTTGTTGGACCAGTGTACCTACAACCTGCAGCTGTCCACAGCAGCACGGCGACTGTACACGCAAGATGGTACGCTCATCCTCACAGTATCGGATCTCATACAGTGGAACCTAGCATGCTATGGAATGGCTGGGATGGACATCAACGAACAAGGTAAAAAAATAAAATCTGTCTGTACTTGTAGAGCTGTTTGTTATTCATTAATTATTTATGCTGCAAAACTTGTGAATGTTAACCAGTTAAACGCCGGAGGACGTGTAAAAACGATCTGGCAATGTACATATGCAGGGGCAGGTTTCTGGAAAATCATCAAGCTTTCCCCGAGTCTCCAGTGGTGGATGTGAATACACGTCATTTGTTCCCATTGGTTTTGTACACACCGCTGTACATGGCCTGTCAACATAGAAAATATTGCTCCGTGGCTGGGCCTAGGAGTGTTGCAAAATAGTAAATAGTACATGTAAGTAGTAAGTGTGTATACAATAAGAAGTATCGTACAATTATTGTACAAATGACTCTCAAGAGTCAATTTAGACTTGGCCCAAGCCTGGGTTGCGCTCGGTCTGTAAGTATAGTAAATGTGTACACATAGCGCACACGCAACACTATACACGCTATACCATAACGCGCCCTCATGCGTCAAATCCAGACCAACATGTTAAAAACATAGATGTACATGTTATTTTTAAAATGCAGCAACCCATCTAACTTTTGAAACACATGTATGCACACGCTCTGTACATGCACACACACATGTACATTTAATAGGCGTATTGTACAATGTGCATACAGTGTGCGCGCATTGTTATACGGCACTGAAGTGGAACGTGTGCTGGAGTGTAACTTGTCGTGCTTATGGAAAGATGTAAACTAAGTGATTTTTGTGAGTTTTTTTTTACTTATTTTTTAAGATACCGACTTAAAGCGATTCCGACTTGAGTCAAATCTAGAGTCAGTTAGAATACCGAAGTGGCAAATTGAAATGTGCGATATGATGATAATATTAGTATGAACTAAAAATCAAAACATTTCTGTTTCAGCAGAAGACGAGAAAGACAAGACAGCTGACAAGCGGCAAGATTCCTCCTCAGAGCTGAAGGTGTCTTCTGTGCTTCGCATCCCCGTTGAGGTCTGGGTCTCGTGCGGAGAGCAGTTTGTCAGGCCAGAACGTAAGTAGACAATCATAATGTTGCCCCGAATGTCAGTGGGAAGTTTATCAAAACATAAGACAATTGCAGCTGTATTGAAATGTAATCTATCATTAAATCTGATGGATTTGTTTGGACTTACGATGGACTCGTGAGGACTTGTGATGTATTTGTATTTTGTATACACAATTTTTAGACTTACACTACATTCAGTAAAGAGCATTAATTATTTTGTGACGTGATTCACAAAGATAAAGTTATGTGTACCAAACCTTTCAAGTAGACAAAGCACTCAGTAATCTGTCATTTGGTATTTAATCCTTTTGTTTTATTATAAAATTCTGCAATCCTAAGAGTTTGTCTTACATCGAAAAGTACAACAGTACAGAGATAATTGTACCATCCAACCTCCATGAGTGGGCAACAAAGGATAAAAATCCAAAGGGAACTGGACAACTTTTTTTGGCAGCATAACTTTTTGCATAACATTCAAGACTAATGTCTAATATTCAAGACTAGATGAGAAGCAGGTTGAAAATCACCAAGTGTGTGATAACAATAAGCCTTTTCGGAGTTCCAACTGCACATTCTTAACCTGTGACAACGCGCATTATTTGTCTCAAATGGCCTTTGACAACATCGCGCCACTGACTTTACAAAAAGGCTGTTTGTGCATTGTGGGTACTGTCAAAGGGCATTTGAGACAAACAATGTGCGTTGTCACAGGTTACGAAGGCGCGCAGTTGGAACTCCGAAAAGGCTTATTCATTGCTTGATTTGAATAAGTTCACCAATCAGAACAAGGGTAACCAGTTAAAACCGCCGGGGCTACTGTTGAGATTGAGATAAAAACTAGAACCTGAGAATGAGGTGGATTCCAATGTAACTGACTAGTGGGTTATGTTAATGACCATGCATTCTCATTCTCAGACGTTGACTACAAAAGGAAGCTTCTGCTTCAGCAGAGAGAGGAACGTGCTGGAGTCGTCCTGGAACTTGAAAAAGAGAAGCACGTCTTACGCCAGATGCAAGGTACAATTTTCTTTTATGTTTCCATTTCAGGGAGACTTTCTTAAAATGAAGTCGTCTCTGAACTTCTTCAATTTGCAGTGTATTTGAAGTGCTTTTACAATTGTCTGAGATAACAAGCCTTCTTCCATAATGCTGAAATTGTTTTAATTTTTTTTAAGGACGAAGAACTAATGGCATGGAGGGGCCACAGTACATCAGCACCCTTAGCCCAGACGCCCCCGTGATGGTGGAAGGGGGCTGGACCCAGCCCAGCATGGGCGAGGTCAAGAGGTCGCTGGTGGTACACCAGCTGGAGAATCACCTGCAAGAGGTCAAAGGTCAGCAAAAACAACAGGCGGGCAATCACGTTGCCACCAGGCCGGTGATTGACGGCAGCAAGAAGCTCTACAGCCAGCCGAATTTGGTAAAGAATTTTGCGCACTATAGACTGTTTGCACTTCAGCCATGGTAGAGGTGTGTGCTTTTCCTCGACAGGGATACACATGAGTGGACTTCTTGTGTGTTCATTGTTCATGAATTCACAGAACAAAACACACCTCCAAGATGGCAGCTGAATGCAATTGATCTGTTTGTAATTGTGATGCGTTGTATAAAAAAAAGGCTGTTCCAAGCAGCTGGTAGAAAATAAGGTTTTAAATAATGTTAAAATATGGATCTTTCCCCTTGACAGTGACGGTTCCATTTTTTTTAAAGCAGACTTTCCTTGGCAAAGGAATGTTGCCTCGACAAAATGAACACAATTTTAAAAGCTAATACAGTAGATTTTGACCAAGAAGGATAATTGTCAGTTAGCTGTAGGTTTGCTGATCTTGCTGCTTCTTGGTAACCTAAATCCGGAAGTTAGATCAGGCAAAATGGGCTATCATATTGAACATGAGCGGTCTTGTTTGTTAAAAGTTTGTAAAAGGATTGAGATTATTTTTGTTATAATGTCGGTCTTGAAGTCAAGTCAATAACAAGTCCATCAGAACTCCGGTCAAAAAGTAAATCACAAGTCCGTTCACAAGTCCAATCACAAGTAACAGTGGATGAACTATTCCAAAGAATGCTTTTGTTATTTGTGATGCGATCAAGCTAAATGAATCGTTTGTCGAGAATTTTTATTTGGAGATACAGGCCAAAATAGGGCCACTTCATCACATCACTTCATCACATCTCTTGGTGTTCCGACTTCCAGAATATTTTAACTAAAGATGGTATCAGCATTGCGGTTTTTACATCAGTAATGCTGAGATTGTGCTCTTTTCAAATCTGTAATAAAACATTTTTGACCAAGGTCGACAAACGACTCATGTAGCTTGATCGCATCACATTTGTGTTCATTTGAATAGCTAGTGACTTGACTTGAAACTGAAGAACTTGTGTTAGACTTATGACAGAGTTGATTACAACTGTGTAAATGTAACATCAATTACAAGAACACAAAGATTAAGTCCAAATGTTGCTTCTTTTGATCCATGCTTTACTGCGAAAATCTCTCTCTAAATGTTCAGAAGCGTGTCAAGGTGTACAAGAACGGAGAGCCTCCCGACAAGCACACCTTCGCCTGGGGCTCCTCCATGTCCGAGATCCTGCAGGACGGCACGGCCAGGCTGGACATGCGCAAAGCAGCAGCGCAGATCTACACGGCCGATGGCCAGAGAGTGACCGACTTTGGCGAGATCAAAAGGGATCAGCTGCTCTGCCTGTCACATGGCGATCACTTCAAGGGATCCAAAGGTGGGTTCGTGTGGCACGGGTAGTTTTCCTGTTTTTATCGGATTTCCATGACAAATTTCTCCTTTCATTGTCTATTATTTACTTCATTTTCAGCATTGTGTACAGTACAGGGTGAGGTAAAAAAAACAAAAAACAAATGTTGGAACCATTTTTTTAGTGAAGTTCTGCATGTAGCACTTTCAAAATCTAGGATACGAAAGCCCAATTCATAAGCTTTCTTTTAGTACAAGAACCATTCAATCACTTATGTACTTTTCAAGTTACGGAATTTTAAACACAACCGCCGTTTTAAGGTTCTGTCCACGGATCACAAAAAATTTAAGTGTTCTTTCAGCAAAACGAAAACAAATCACATAGGGATGTGTGTGAATTGTTTTCGTTTTGATGAAAGAACGCACACCTTTTTTGTGATCCATGGACAGAACTTTAAAACGGTGGTTGTGTTTAAAACTCCGTAACATGAAAGGTACATGAGTGATTTGAATGATTCTTAAACTAAAAGAAAGCTTATGAATTGGGCTTTAATATCCTAGATTTTGAAAGTGCTTTTTTTTTACTCACCCTGTAGACATTACACTTTTGGGGATCGGCAGGACACTTTGTCCTTTTCTTCCAGAAGGTTGAGTATCATGCCTGGTTTATGGCGCCTTGGCCCACGATGACTCGGTTATTTGTTTAATTGATAGTTTGCCAGTGAACCAAGAATCCACTTTAATAGTGAAAATGAAAGGCTTTTTTTTATCGAGAAGGTGCAAAAACACAAACAGGCCAAGCAATTTTTATGCAGAAGGAACCTAAGTAATTCCACATAAGAAACTCTTTCGCAAGGAAAAGGGATGGACACAAAGATCAGCCATGCTTGAGAAAAAAAACTAAGTGTCCTCAATATTTTGAACGTTGAGTTAAGAATTCTGGCTTATAATATTTTGTTGTACAGGGAGTCGTAATCAGGTGGAGGTCAAGGCAAACTGGTCGAGGGCCAGAAAGAAGGATGGTCCACAAGCCACTGACATCATGGTGACCTCCAACAAACACCCTGCAGTCAGGGTAGGTAGACCAATCATATAGGGCTTGGGAGGGATTCGAACCCGGTTGCAGTTACGTGATAGAGAGATAACTAGTCATGCACAAGCAAAGGCAGTCCTTAGGCACCAGACATTGTAGTAATTTTCAATAAAGGCCCAACATTCAGGATAGGCCCACTTAACATAAAGGGTTCAGGTGGGATTCGAACCTGGTGACAGTAATGTGATGAAAAACTCACTAGTCATGCACCAGAAAGGAAAGTCCTTACCAGGCATCCGACATTATGGTAGTGTCCAATAGATATCCTGCAATCAGGGTAGGCCGACCAATCAGCATACAGGGCTAAGGTGGGATTCGAACCCCGTTGCAGTGAGAAAATAGCTAAGTTGGTCAAGTGCTACCCAAAAAGGACAGTTACCTGGCATTAGAGATTATGTTGACATCCAACAAATATATTGCAGTCAGGGTAAGGAGACTAACAATGTACAAGGCTCGGGAGGGATTCGAACCCAGTGGTGGTCTTCTTCAAACACCAGTGTATTCAATCTGTTTATAAAAGGTAGAGTGGATCATTTGCAGCTATCCAAAAAGTAACTGACCAAATTATTGTTGAAAAGCTTACTTGGTTTAAAGATAGTAATGGGACTAAACTCCCTGTGAAATTATTCTTTCTGGCATAATGTCATTTTAAAGAAAACAATAAACTAAGGCCATTTCCAAAGATGCGCCAAGTTGCGCTTTTTTGAAAATTTCTGTTAGTAGTTGGTTTGAAATTCGGGGGAAGGGTGCGCTCAAGCGTTGACATGAGCACACGTGCGCGCGGTTGTTATTATTCGTCAGTTCAGTGCGTGACATCATGTAGTTGCAATCGGCTGAATGAGAACGTGTCCAGGACGCGGTTTTCGGGTACAGTTCAACATGGCTTGGCTATATTTGAATTGAAAACGAAATCCTAGAATACTGTTGCTTGCAATATACAGCATTCACAGAGCTAAAGCTTCATCAGGTTTAGTTGTTAAGCATCGTCTTCAGATATTGAGCACTTTTATTGGTTCAAACGGAAAAAATGCACAAATGACAAATGATCTACCCTAACACATTGTGCATAGTGTAATATGAAAAGGATATCAATAAATGTCAACTGTAATGCACTTTATTTCTCAATTTTCTTTTTCTGTCCGGATGCAGGTTGATCCGTTTGGGCCGCCATCTCTGGCTCTGACGGCTTCTCCAACTGAAGACTGATCATTAAGGTTAAGGAAATAAAGGTTTGCCCAGACGAGCCTCTAAGCCCGCAGTTAATTGGACACTAGTATTAAGTGGATCAATCAGACAGCAGTCTCTATGGACCAATGAGTGTCACTTTGGCTGGTAACCTGGGTTTTTTTGTAATATTTTGGCAAGGCAAACATTTACTGTGAATTGCACAGTTCTGTTCTTAGCAGCTTCACAACATTTTGCCACGGTCATGACAAATCCATCACAAGTCATAATAATAAAATGTGTCGTCTATATAACGTTTTCCACCAAAGCTAAGTCGCAAAGCACTTCACAGTTGCAAGTATTACCCCTGTTCATCAGGCCATGAGACCACTCAGACCGAGCATTCCTTTTGTTCGTACCTATTGTTTGAGATTCAACTAGTCAGTGGACATGTCGTTGACTCAGTTTAATACTTTGCTTTGCCTGCTTTAAACAAAATTTGAAAGCTGTGCATTTTGTTTTCTATCTGGGCCATCCTATAAATTTAGGAGTCAAAGTGTGACATTTTCCTGTCCCTGTTACCTCTGACCTTTATAATTAGCCATTCAAGTATTATTAAGAACGACTTCAAACAGAAGTTATTTGTTGGGTAGGTAGTTTGCTATTCGTAATCACTCTCTTGAAGGACGACTGCATTAAAGAGTGCATCAGAATTATAAGATCATCAACGTCAGATGTAACAGGGACAGGAAAAAAAGTGGACCCAAGTTAATATAATGACCCAACTGCAACCAGCTTTGCCATCTCCATGTGATTGGCCTGCTCCCTTTGGTGGATGTGAATTAAAAGTCAGCATTATATTTCAGATGCAATTCGCTTGCTGTAGATATCTTTCCTAATCATTTTTTACGGTTTCTGTCCGTCTTGTTTCAGTCATGGACACATAGTAAACTCACCGATATGTATATTTCGTATTTCGGATGCAAACATTTCAAAGTCAAGCAATGTCCGTGTGAAGAGTCAAATGAATAAGCCTCTGTACTAATGACATCACACTTTGTTTACGTGTGTGCATTCCTATGGTGCTCAGTGGACCGTGGGCCCCCACTGGCTCCATAGGAAAGTGCACATGTAAACAAAGTTGGACGTCATTACTACAGAGGCTTATTGTAAATATTGTAATTATTGGCAGCATTGCTTCGTCTTGAATGTCCACACTTTCAGGCTAGTGCAGTTTTGATTTATTCAGGCAACAAACAAAATCCAGAGAAACTAGGATGAAAATGTCCTTGTTTCGTGTGGACTTCTGTTTATTTGATCATCGTGGTACCCCAGAGTGACCTGAAATGTGCCCAGTCTGGTTATTATGACAAAAGAACTAATTGTTTGGAAATGGGACTCGTGTTATCACTTCTCAAGCATTTTTGTAAATTAAAATGAAGCATTATTAATTAAAATTCCAAGCCTGGTCACGTGATGGGTCACGTGAGGGCCTCAACAACACCAGTTGATAAAGACACTGTGCTAGTGTGGCAAGCTCCTGATCTCTGTAACTGAGCTCTGTAACTCAAGTCCCAAAAAGGTATCTTTCATTTACATAAATTTGTCAGTATTTCAAGCTGTGGAACTAGGCATTACATTTTTAGCAGATTTATAGTATTAGTTGTGTTAGGTCGATTAATGCAAAATTGTTTAGTGCGGACTGCTGCAATACCTGTATATATTTTAAATAAATTTGTCAAATAGCTCTTGGAGCTTCTGGTGTAGATACTATTTTTCAAATCGATTAAAGATACAGTAAGGTTATTTTGTGGATTCTGAAGTAAAAAAAAAAATGTTCATTTGTTTCCCTAACTACTTATGAGGGGTATGTTACTTAGTTTTTCTGAAATCAGTCATGAGTAGCTTAAAAGCTTTGTTTTTCTTTTTATAAAACGTCTAATTCCTTTTTCTCTCACCAATTTTCGTGAAATAAAAGTAGAGATATAAAAAACGAAGATACATCTGTTCTTGATTTTGTTTTAGTCTTCTTCAAACACATTGTAAAAAACAATCTTTGTAAATTCGAAAGATGTATGCACTATCAGATCATGTACGAAACATGTACAGTTTGAAACAACATCGATAACAGACTTTTCCGAAGGCCTAAGGTGAATTAAATGAACACGAAGAATTTGGACATTTCTTGTGACATCGGGAAAATATATATCTACACACATTTGCTGATTACGGGAGGTGCGAAAAAAAACGCCTTTTGGCAGAAAAAACGGGAACATTCCCATACTATGGCAGCCATTTGTTTTACTAGACTGTGTCGGTCAAAAGCCATCACTCACCCCGCTACATGTGATGGACTTGGCATTTGGCTTATCTGCACAAAAAAAAATGGGGGGGGGATTTTGGTGGAGTTGGTAAATGGCAATTTACGGCAAATTTGGGCCATTTTTATAAGAACTGTGTCCATTGCAGTAATGCACACACTTCTGGGGGTGGTATAGGTTTAAGCAAAGTGCCCAACCGGTGTCTAGTTATAAAAAATAAAACCCTACTTTTATGTATTCCCATCATTGGACAATTCTGGTGGAGAATATTTCTTCAGTTCTGTCGTATAAACGGACCCGCGGCCAGTAGCAATTTCAAATTAAGTTTTCTCGTCTCGGGTGAGTTTGTGTTTATTAGAGCTTTAGAAGTCACTGGCCATAAAAGAAATAAGGCATTAGAAGATCGTCATTACTTTAATACTTGTCAAACTTACCATGTGAACCATTATTTTACCATCAGTTTGGAAATATTGTCATTTTGCCTTTTCCCTTGAAAAATTAATTTTGTCAAGCTAAACTTTTTTTAGCAAAATCGTCCTTCAATAAAATTACTTATTTAGCATGGTAGGGTCTTGGCAAGGATTTTTGCGGTTCTACCTTGAAAGAACTGGTGAACTGGACATTTGGAATGGTGAGTTCTACTCATCTTCAGGGGAATACCATCAAACTAACTCACAGAAGATTTCACTTTGTTGCCTCCAAACTCCTTGTCTAGTAACCTTCAAGTCTTAATCATCAAAGACGAGGGGGTTGGGGGTAGGTGGGGGAAGTTCGATCATCCATGACAAAATATATATAGGCCTGAAGCCTCCCTACTCATGAATGTTGCCGAGGAATATTTTATGTACAAGTGCACGTTAGTTTCAGTTTCATGACGTCATCAGACGTGCCGTACCGGGTACACTTTAGCATACCTGACTTAGTTTAGATATGATACATGCTCATTATGAAGTGAAAGGAGCTTTTAAAAATTGGAAATTATAATGAATGTTAAGTGTATGTGTTAATAGAGCTGGGGTATAGAGCTACATGTACAGGGCAGCAGTGGGTAGAACAAGGGAGAAGCGAGAAGAAGATTGAGGGAGATTTTCGTAACACGGGCGTGGCGGTGGCGACGACGAAACGGCGACGGAAACGGCGACGGAAACGGCGACGGAAGAAGGACAAATTGGAGAAGGGGAGGCTGCGCGAAGAGAAATGAGGAGAAAGGAGAGGTGGGGTGGCCGGGGAGGGGTTGCAGAGGCTACACATCTCGCTACACGCGAGCAAACTGCTCCAGAGAAGAGAGTAGGGGAGGGCAATCCAACCGGCCAGGGATTGCTTGGGGGCAGGGAATGGGATGGGATTGACTTCCTCAACCACAGCCGGAGGGGGAGGGCCGGCTCCAGCACTAGTGGCGAGGTAGTTCATGGGACGCTTTCTGAACTCTATAAAAACAGTGCACTCACTACTCACTGCGTTCAATAAAAAAGAAACCAAAACAACATAAAAAAAAATTAAAAAAACAATTCGTTTTGTAACCAATATAATTGTAACCAAGATTTGAACAACTGTTTTTATCGTTTCGAATAACTTTTTGTCAACAACTGTAAACTCCAGGAAACATGTTCCTGGGACATGTATTGTAATGGTAACCGCAGTGGAAATAAGTTTTTATAACCATTTCCCCCGCTTTCCCTGCTTTTTGCACTGAATTAAAAGGGGGCTCTATGTAATTTTTTTTTAATTTACAGTTCAAAATATTTTTTTTCTTGTTAAATATTAACTAATCTGTATAATTTTATGTGGAAATTGTGAATAAATCAAATCAATTCAAATCAAATGTACAATCCCTCAAATTTGGAAGTGTTCGTGCATATTTAATTTTATGCAAATCATTGGGGCAGATGGCAGACACACCCATCAGCTATCAGACGGACATTGATAGAAGTCATAAAACAGTAAGTGGACTCTGACTTATCATTTAATGATCATCTTGGGCCGTCGTTTTCATCTCCTGCCACAGCTCCACTGCGAAACTAGCCGTATCGGCATCCAGAAACGACGATATTTCAAAGCAGGGCTTTAAAAGGTGTGCCGCGCCCTCTTTTTGGACATCAAAGCAGTGCACCTGTCATATGCATATGTGCAGAAAACATGCGCAGAAAAGCTATTCTCGGAATCCAAAATGGCGACCTGTCTTCGGCGAAGATGACACTGACAGTGAACATGTAATCGAATGAAAAGTGAACTCAGTTTGTGGTCCGAAACAATGGCTCGCCTTGCGGATTACTTTGCTGTCATTGGCTACGACCACGAAAGAGAACGTGAGTTGAAATTTCTGTCGTTTCATGTCGGAAAGACCGCTTGTTAAAGACGGATGTTCGGCCAACCCAGGCCCAGCTCTGACGATTTTCATTGACCCTGTGCAGTTTGATATGGGCAAAGCACTGTACTGCCTGTAGCTTCGCCCAGTTTCCGGACACTTGCTTTTTCCATTCAGTTCATTTCTGTCAATTCAGTAATAATTTATTTGAAAAATATTTCATGCTCAAAACCTAGGTTGTACATGTTGACATCAGAGATAAACTTTAGAAATTTCAAATTATTTTACTTGTCTAACATTCGGCCTTCTTTGCAGGTGGGGGTGGGGCTAGTCCGAGTAACTTGGACCCAACTTATCGCCTTTTTTAACATTTGGACGTGGTCTGGCGATAGTAAGGTCCAAGCTAATAGTGCGAGCTGGACAACATCATCATGTCACTGTCCCAAAAACCAACATTTCCCAACAAAAAACATCAGATTTCACCCTCAAAACGGCCTCCAAATTACTAGATATGCCAGCTGAGGTACAAGTAGACATCGATGATTAAGATGGTTGTACTGAAGTTTACTTACGATCTGGAAGAAAAGTGAAATTTCCCGTTCAATTCTGAGAGCTCCCCTCGCGATCTTGAACACGTTAAATTTCCGACTAGTGTTAATGTTTGAACGACGCGATTTTTTTCTTCATGCCCAGCGTACATTCGATGGTCCCCGTATCCCGAGTGCGATTCCGATACCGAGTGCGCGCGATGCATCGATTATGATAATGAGTCACGTTTGTAAACACAAGTGCATTTCGAACTGTAAAAGGGAATCGGGAACCAGCTTGAACTGGTATCCGCCATAAAAGCTGCGCTAGATCCCGACTCCCTATTATCGTTCGAAATGCACATGTGTTTACAAACGTGATCCAGTCTGCTCATTATCATAATCGATGCATCGCGCGTGCTCGGTAACGGATCGCACTCGGGATACGGGGACCATCGAATGTACGCTGGGCATGAAGAAGAAATCGCGTCGTTCAAACATTAACACAATAACAGAGTTGGAAATTTAACGTGTTCAAGATCGTGAGGGGAGCTCTCAGAATTGAACGGGAAATTTCACTTTTCTTCCGGATCGTAAGTAAACTTCAGTACAACCATCTTAATCATCGATGTCTACTTGTACCTCAGGTGGCATATCTAGTAATTTGGAGGCCGTTTTGAGGGTGAAATCTGATGTTTTTTGTTGGGAAATGTTGGTTTTTGGGACAGTGACATGATGATGTTGTCCAGCTCGCACTATTAGCTTGGACCTTACTATCGCCAGACCACGTCCAAATGTTAAAAAAGGCGATAAGTTGGGTCCAAGTTACTCGGACTAGGGGTGGGGCCAGGGTGACAATACTGACATCATACGACATGTACGACGAAAATTTGCACACCACTTTTCATCGGTTGCTATGTTGCCCAAGAACCATTGAGTTTCAAGACCCTATCTGAGAGCTTATGGCCATTCTAAATTGATTTTTAGGTTTTCATCACTGCCCGCCCCGATTTTCACGCCCGCCCCGATTTTGTTTTCATATTTTGTTTTCATATTTTTTTTATTGTGTGTAGTCTATTGTATTGACCTACATGACCTATCGCGGTAGAATCGCGTTAGAATCATGTCAACGCAGCTTGTGAGATATTGTCAAATTACATGACGAGCAAAATCTGAGACAAAAAAAAAACCAAATGCATTTTTTTTAAAGTGACGTCGCAATAAAGGTAGGCAGTCCTAAAATGCATCAACAAGCGTCAACAAACTTCAACGGTCATCAACCCAGCGTCAACAAATTTTGTAGTTCTAACAAATTTTGGAAAATCAAAAACAGCTTTATATGGTAGAAATGGCAACAAAGTAACACCTTCAGCATATAATTTATAAATGAAAGTAAAAACTATTTTTTTTCAACGCGAAACATACAACAACTCTGTCGAGTTTGTGTTGGCCGCCATTTTGTTTATGTGAAGCTAGCCCTATTACGCATGCGTGAAGTGTACAGCGCCATCCAAACAAGATGGCGGCCAACACTAATCTGCAAACTCGTCGTACATTCCGCATTCAAAAAACAAGTTTTTAAATTATTTTAACTTTAATTGATATGTAGAAGATGTTCTTTATTGCTTTGTAAAGCTACTTTTAATGTTCAGAAGCGTATACAAAATTTGTTGATGCTTGTTGACGATCGTTGACGCTTGTTGACGATCGCTGACGATCATTGACGCTTGTTGACGCTTGTTGACACATTTAAGTAGGAAAGGTAGGCACCACCATCTTTTCCTTTAAACAAAATTTGGTTACTTAAAGTGGTCAGAAATTGCCTCAGATCGCACTCAGATTTCGGGACCCTTAAGCGGGCCACGAACCCCACGCCTTAATTTTTTGACCCACTTTTAGGGGGACCAAAATTTTGTTGGACCCCCAAATTTTGTTTGGCCCCCATCACCCCCCCCCCATCACCCCCCCCCCCCAAACAAAATTGCAGTCCTTCTGATTTGAAAATCACTGGCGTGTGGAAAAAGGCACACCTGGATTTTTTTAGGCGTGTGGTTTTTCTAGACGTGTGATTTTTCTAGGCATGTGTTTTTTCTAGGCGTGTGATTTTTCTAGGCATGTGTTTTTTCTAGGCGTGTGATTTTTCTAGGCGTGTAATTTTTTCTAGGCGTGTGATTTTTCTAGGCGTGTGATTCCATGGTCCAATCTGGTGCTGAACACTTGGTATTTTTTAAAATAATATTCATCTTGGTGTACAGTAAAGCCATTTTCTCTTCACCGACGTACATTGTAAAAGATATTTCACAAATTATGCTGTAAATGTATGGCGAGGTGTGCAGTACAGAGGGTTTCAGGCGTGCAATTATTCACACTTCTCGGGAAGCTTTTAGGCGTGTGATGGCGTGGGGGTGGGATCGCACGCCTCAAATCAGAAGGACTGAAATTGTGTTCTGGATCCGCCCTTGGTGGGGACTAGCGAAAGCGAGTCAGCAGTTAAACCTCAACTGCACATTTAAAAAATACTCAGGATTGAGGCTATAGTCTATATTATGCTATTTTTCCATGAGGCCAATTGGAGGATTTTGCAGGACTGAGGCTACATGTACATATAGCAAAAAGGCCTAGGGAGTTAGGGTAAATGAGAAACAGGTTTGAGCTTCAACTACAATTTACACCATTTATGACAAAAATACACAAAAGGTTACAGAAATCTGTAGTCAGTTGGCTCCATGCAGTGGATTATAGGAGGACAATGAGATCATTGGCGCCAAACTGATAAATATCCATGACATTCACCATGTTCACAGACACATGTAAACTTCCTTCCTTGTTCCTCATTTCAGTAGCATTGTGGATGATATTCCATAGTGCTGCATTAAGTTACTCAAGGGTTACCGGTAGGTTAGGGTACAAAGCTGTACCGGTGCAATGCAAACACTGTACCACACACAACTACATGTACATACTTGTACCATGCTTTGTTTGTGATCCTTGTCAAAAGCAGTTTCTTCGGAAGATGAGTGTGCATATTTATTTTGGCACATCTTCTGAACCTGTTCAAACTGTTGGAAATACCCATTTTGCATACATGTCAGTAAATGTTAAGGGTAAACTTTGTAACTGTTGCAGTGATGGATGAGTACACATTTAATTTGACACACATTAATTAAGCGAATCTTTCATTTCTGAAAGTTGTCCTGTTGGTTAATTTGCACCATATTATTAGTATTTGTTATTATTATTATTATAAATTATTAAAACCATTTCTGGTAATGAAACCAAGGATTCCTCAAAAGCGCCCTAGGCACTGTAGCTCACAAGCCTGAAGAAACCTGTGGAGAGAAGACAATGAGAAGAAGTTACAGTTTTAGAGGTGGGAGGAAAAGCCCAGAAGAATATTCTGGGAAAAACCCATGGAATCAGGTAGGGACTGAAAACCCAATCCACATATTGGCCCAGGCGGGATTCAAACCCGCAGTACTTGTATACAAGTAATCAGACTAAAGGCCGGTTCATACTCCCCGTGAGCGCGAACGCTAACTTGTGACATCAGGGCAAGGTTTTGTGCTGCAAATTTGCAGAAGTTGAACACATTTCAACTTCGCAGCGAATGCTTCCAGACATCAAATTCGCATCGCATTAGCCATGTTAGCAGTTGCATGAAGTACCGTATGAACAGGCCTTTGGTCGGACTTGACTAGAAAACAGTCTTGCTCACTGCCAGCTGACTACAGAACTTTACATGTACCGGTACATGTAAGATCAAGTGGTGCAGGCTTGACGTTTTCTAGTCAAATGTAAGTTTCAGAGTGTTCACAATACTGCACTCAAGTACATGTACATACCGGTACATACATATCAACACACAGATACTGGAATTTGTATCCTTGTGGAGTCATTTCTTTGTTCTCGTGTACTAAAATTTTAGAGTTTGAATTTGTAGTTTCAAAGTGATCCTATTTTAACCAGAATTAATTTCCTGGGCTGAAATTCGGACTTACTATCCCTTACATAAAATACTTCAATTTGTGACACACCTTGGAAATTCTTAGTTTTTGAGTAAAATCCATATCTATTTCGTGATAACCTTGTGGAGATGTACCGGTACATTCACCTATAGAAATTGCCCTGTCATTGCCTGTGGAGAAGTATACAATCTTTTGTTTCCTATTATGCATGTCTCCACAGGGTACCGTGAACCAGATCATGTATTCCTAAAGTTGTTGGAACAGTATCTTTCAGACAGTCAGATGGCATAGATCCGTGTGTGTATCATGTATACAGAAATAATATTTTGTTGCAATTGGTACACATTATCAATTCACTTAATACAATCAGAAGGATACAGATTTCGATATGCCAGGAAATATGGAGCTATAAAATACAGGGAGAGTCCCTGCTTGATCTTAGCCACTACGATGTGCATTGTAGGTTACACGTGTACACGTTATGGGTCATTCCATGAAGTTGAGGAACA